TGTTGGTATGGCTGTTGTGGTTGTGCCTGGTACACTTGTGGTTGTTGGTATGTTTGAAATGGAAACTGCTGCTGACCTCCTTGACCCTGCATGTGTTGCATTCCTCCCGTTCTGCAGTTTCTTGCTATATGTCCGTACCGTCCACACCTGTAACACTTCATGTTTGATAAATCTCTGTCCTGTCTAAATTGTCCACCACCTCTACCTCTGCTATTCCTGGGGAATGTCTGGAACCTCTGTCCTTGATTTCCATAGGGCATGTATCCATTCATTTGCCATTCATACTCTGGTTGCTGCTGTATTTGTCCAGTCTGTATAATCTGCTGTGGTTGCATCACCTGTGTCTGCGTCTGAGGCTGCAGTGGACTTGGATTACCACTAAACAACATTTCTGCTTTCTCCACTTTTTCTGGCTTTGGTTCAGATTTTTTAATCTCTTTAACTAATTCCTTAATCAGTGACAAACTATCATCAGTTTTGGGGCTGTTTTTCTTCCGAAGTAGCTTTTTAATAGTACAATATGACCTAACAAAAGCTGGCGAGTCAGTATCCAAATTCAGAATGTGTTTTTCCTTTTCAGCTGTCGGTAGCTCCCTGAGCATTCGCTGATAGAACATTTTTTTGATCAAATCATAGGTTGGGGTGGACTCTCTTGGATACAATGCATCAAACTCCTTATTTATTCTATGCTTCATGGCCTCGGCTGTCTCTCCATCTTGCACTTCTAGATTTATGGTTTCCATAGCATTCATGGGCACAGGAAATAACGTTTCCATTTTTTCCATCACAGCTGAATACCATGCTTCCACTGAACAGCTGTTTGTGGCTCGAACTGCAACATTTTCAAATCCTGTGGACATGATTGGAAGATGGACACCGAGAACGGTAGTGAGATCATTTAGGGTTAAATTTTGAGCAGGATAGTGTTCCAGGATTGACAACAAACATGCTCTGCCCCCATACTGCCTTGGGTCTTTCATTCTCATTTTTATAGAGTCAATTTCAGTTATAGTGAGCGGTTTACATGTCCGATTTCTCTGCCGGACCTAGATGTCGATACCACAATTGGACACATCGACACATCTTCTCCTTGTCTGCGCCTAGCTTTCCTCTTGTTCTGTCGCCTTTCCTGTTGATAATAAATTTCCCCACTCGTACCGTCGTCATCTGAGTGTTCAGCTGTTACAAACGCATCTGAGCCGGTCATCAATAAATCTTCGTCTGACGAGCTTGATTCTGCATCTATAGTCTGATTAGATCGAGTAAAATAACGATGCTGTCTTTCTTTCCTAATTGTAATCGGCTTCTGAAAGCTGATTCTTAAATCTGTCTTCTTCCTAGTCCCTGAGTGCTGGTCCACTTCTTTCTGGGCCTCTCTGTCTGTGCCTCCCTCGCACCTCTGAGCTGTCACTCCTCCCGCCCCCTGCTCTCGCAGCCCTGCTCCTTTTTCTGCCTGAGAAGTATTCTCTTCAATTTTCGGACTAGAATGACTAATAAAGTTTTTTCCATTGAAACCATTTGCAAATGAATTTCCCCTAGTCCCTGGGGTATGCTGCAAGTGAGATGGGCCTCCCTGAATCGTGTGGTTTTTAAGCTCACTTTCCAGTCTTGTCAATGTGTCATTAAATTGTCTTTCAGCCACTTGTGCCACAATTTCTCCAACCTGATCAATGTGTTTCTGAAGCTGGGTAGTCTGAGCTGTAACCTCCCGTACCTGTCTGAGCGCCTCTTGGGAGTATTTTTGATCCAGACTCTCCTCTCCTGTGCTAGTCACGGTACATTTGATTGGCTCTTCAAATGTAATCAATGGAGCCATTGTTGCAGAATCTTTACTTTTCACTAATTCTGTTAAATCTGGATACAATGGAGCATACGGTGGAGGGGAAGAATCAGGAGCTGTACTTTGCAATTTGGCAGCAGTCATCCATTTCTCATTTAGTTTGATCATCATTGAAATCAGAGTAACCTCATCTGTCAACTTTTGAATTTTCTTATTTTCTAACGGCTTCTCTCTTTGCATTTGAGAACGTTTCTCCAAAACTAATTCTCTTAGTTGTTTCATTAACCCTTCACTTGGGGGTGAATTTGACTTAGCTAAAATACCATCTTTCTTTTTTGATTTTAACCATGTTCTAACGCTCCTTGTTGTTGTATTTTTAATCTCTGTTGTCCCCTCTAAATACTGTATAATCCCCTTTATCCACTCATCTAATGTTACAGATGCCATGTTTTCTACCGTCTAGATTACAAGCCTTGTGTTATCAATATCAATGTAAAGAATCAGCAATTGGGTGCGTAATCTTAGAGCGTCAGATCGTGGTATCTCCCCGTTCGACCACAAAATGTGGTGGGGAAATGTACGCACGAATCGTGACCCCGTCCTACGCGACCCAAATTACTGCGTTCACTGTGACCGTGGTGCAATGGTCACTTCCACAGAAAACATCAATCACTCATTCACACCAAGAGAAAAATTAAAAGTGAGAAAAGTTAGACACTGTCCCTGTCCTTTCCCTTATTGTCAATTAATTAAAACACACAGTTTTCTCCTTCAACTATTAAATCACTGAGATAGCACACAGTTCACTCCTTTTAACTCATAAATCACTTAGATCCTCACACAGTCCTTTTAGGTTGACTATCAATCACTGAGATAACACACAGTTTTTCTCCTTTTCTTAAGTCACTTAGACTTGAATACTATTATCCCAATAAATATAAAATACTTGCAAGCAAATCCTTCAATATTTACCCTACTTTTGTTTGTTTGTTTTTTATTTTTAGGTCTCAGGTCAGGTGAAAGGAAAGATTAATTAGTTGGTAACAACTCTTACCGTTTTACTTTGGCGCCAAATTAATCTTTTCTTTGACCGGGCCTTGTGTCTCCTGTCGAATCCTGTTTCGAGCGACGCCAAGTTCTGCTGTAATTTGTCAGAATTCCCCTGCCCCAGAAGCTGCAGAGAGGCCGCAAACACAGCAGCCCTTCGTTCTGCAGGTCCTTTTAGTTCAACAAGAGACAAAAACCAATGTTAAAACAGTAATAGAAATGACAGATACCAAACCTGATTTCAAAAGGTTATATTGAAGATTTGCAAGCAATATTACAAGATAACGGTCCGCGAACAGGTCTCGCTTCGCGTTCAAGATAAGGGGTGGCCTCGGGTCTCTCTCTGCTCCTGATCAGGAGAAAAAGAAAAAACCCCCGTGACCGCTCCTGCACATCTCTTATACTTTACATCCAAGGTCACTTGACATCACAACTGTATGGACCCTATGACTCCTTCTGGCCCGCTGCCAACGTTTGCACCTGCTCTGATAACCACTTGTCTCCCTCTTGTCCCCCTCCCATTTCACACAGACTAACCTTGAACTCACTGCTCTTTGAGATTTACACAAACAAGTGCTAATTTGGCAACAGAAACAATACTAAACTGATTTTAATTTTAACTGGTCCAGGAGTTCAATATTCCAACATGCCTCAGGAGTCCCCCGAACCATCATGGTTTGATAGGACTCCTTCTTCAGCCTGACGGCATCCCTTACTGCCGGTGTCCACCACCGGGTTCGGGGGTTGCCGCCGGGACCAGCCCCAGAGACCTTGAGACCACAGCTACGAGACCCTCACTACACGTGGGTCTGTTTAATGTTTTTTGTTAGACACTGTTTAACAAAAAAGAGACTCCACAAGTTCCCCACTTGATATAGGCAGTCGCCACAACTGTACATGCCACAGAAAAAGAGAATCAATGGGGAGATTTACATCCTGTCCCTCAGAAGACTTTTGCACCGCTTCGTGACATCAGCTGCAAACCAGCAATAAGCAGCAGCCTTCAAAATGCAGGAAAAAAGCGGTGGCTTATAGTACGGAATTTACTGGAACCTTTTTGAAGAGAAACACATTCATTCATCTTCATCGCCTGGGCTGGGATTAAGTGTCTTACCCAGGGACACAATGACACAACGACAATGACACAACGAGATCAAACCCACAACCAATAGCTTCAAAGACCATTGCTCTACTAACTGTGCCACCGTCACCCTATAAAAATGCAGTAAATAAAGATTACTTACTTACTTACTTACTCTTTTTGATAGCATTATCAAAGTTGTTTTTCCCAAGTATTTTACTTGTTCTCTAGGGTGTTTAAGGGTATCTCAGGGTGGTCTTGAATTGCCATTAATTCACATTTATCAATATTTGAATGGAGGCCAGGTCTGTAGAAAAATAATTTACTACTTTTAGAGCTGTTGGGATTTGTGTTTGATCTTTAAGGAATATAGGGTGGTATAAGAAAACAAGATTGCGAATCACTTATAATGTGTGTTACCTTCTTTAAGTCTGTTGGTGTAACAGGTGTTAAAGGTTGGTTAAAATCCTGATAATAGGATCGGTGCAATTGTGTTAGTACGTACCTGGCAGTGTATGTTAGCTCATGTATGTCTTTTATTTTGGTCGTCTGGCCCAACACTTGTCACTTCCGGTTTGCCGGTATTTAAGTCAGGCTCCGCCTCTTCCTCCTTTCTCTTTCCCCTGATGTCTAAGAGAAAGGTAGCTGGTTTTAATATCTAGAGGCATCGTGTATTTAAAATTAACATCTATATAATTTCATCTTGTCTTTTATGTTATTACGTTGTTTTAGTGTCATCCCTGTTATTATTTAGTACTTACGTGTTTTCTGTTTCCTCTGTTTTATGTTCTTAGGCCGTGTTGGGCACACAAATGTTTGGGCTAACGCCATTTATTTTATATTCCTTCGCCAGGTATGTAATGTACATTTATGTTTGGCTCTCTTTCCCCTGATGTCTAAGAGAAAGGCCGTGTTGGGCACACACATGTTTGGGCTAACGCCATTTATTTTATATTCCTTTGCCAGGAAATAAAAGGGTTTCGGCGTTGCCAATCCCAATTGCAGCCAAGTCTCTTCTCTGGGTTCAGAGCACCGTACACAACGCAGGGTCGCTATAGCACAGGTCACATTGGTGCCGTGACATCCGTTTAGGACCGGACCAGACGACGTCGGGTCCACGGTGCATGCTACTCGGGTTCCAGGACGTTCGCCTGTACCACCGTCGCCTCGCCGCTGGGAGTCGCCATCGCCACACGTGGGGCTGTCGGCGCTCGAACCAACGGGGCTGAAAATTGCATCACCTACGCCAGCGTCTACTTCACGCCGCGGGGATGGATCCGGAGGAGCTGCGCACGCCTGCCATGGTCGGCAGAGGGCGCGGGGTTTTGGTGTCCCCTCTCCCGTTTTCTTTGAGTGGTGTGGGTAGTAGTGTTGCCCGAGGCAGAGCTACGCCTCGTAATATGAACAATGTGTGTTTTGGTCTGCCTAAGTGCAGTACGGGACATGTGGTTGATGATGAAACTGTGGGGGGTATGAACCAGATGAGCGACATGATGCAACAGATGGGTCACATGTTAGCTGATAATATTGTGTCTAGGTTGAATTCATCCAGCTCTTCCGGCGAGTCTCCCAGGGCTCCTGATTCGTCTCCACAAGCCAATGGTTCCATGAACAGTCGTAGTTTGAACCTTTCAAATGTCACATTTATCAAAAAGGGTGCCAAAGAGCCCCCGGTGTTTAGAGGGGATGGTTCAGATGTGTTGGCCGTCGATGAATGGGAGGACTTGATGAAGGTTTATCTCCGCAAAAGTAATGTTCCCGTCGAGTGTAGTACGGAGGAAGTCCTTGTCTATTTAAAGGGCAAGGCTAGAAATGTCGTGAAATTAGGACTTAAAAATGGAGGTCTGGATTCCACACAAGGGCCCGAAGCTATTTACGGTCTTTTGCGTAAACATTTTGGCGCCGGTCTGTACTCCTCGGTCCCCCTCGCTGATTTCTACTCCATCCGTCCCACAGCTAACGAGGGTCCATATGATTTTTGGTTGCGGTTAAACAATGCTGCGGACACCGCCGCTAGCTGCCTTGCAGGGCTTGGGAAATCCTCCGATATTCCTGGGGGGGACGTCACCCGCTTATTCATAAGACACTGTCCGAACAAAGAACTTTCTTACACATTCCGGTCTAAGACTATCGATAAGTGGTCGGCTCGCGATGTCCAGGAGGTGCTGGACGAGTACCATTTAGAACATAGCTCCAAGGGAATCGGTGTAATGAACACAGTTACTGTGAATAAAAGTGATGTTGCCGCTGAGGTGCCCCCCGCTGCCAACGTAACCGACCATTCTATGTTTGAGAAACTCGCCGCCATGTTAGAAAAGGTTTTGTCACAAACTCAAGATGGCGCCCAGGTTGCTCGGAGACCGCGTCGAGACACACGGTATCCCAAGATGGACGGTTTGAACAGCATGCCGTGTGCGGTCTGCAAGGATGTGTCTCACACCGCGTACACGCATTGTATGAAGCATAAACTGTGTTTTCGATGCCACGCGCAGGGCCACTCCAGCCGCGAATGTCCCCGGGCCGTTAACACTTCTCCCTCCGGGCCTCAGGGAAACTAGCCAGTCTGCGTGTAGGGGAGGACAGCGCAGATAGGGATTCTCCACCTCCCACAATGGACAGTGCAGTACGGTTCGGGCCCGCCCGTGTAGGTTACGGTGACAAGGTGCCGTTGGGCAAGACACCAGTTGTACAAGTACTGCAAAGACTTTCAGAAACAGACTCGTTATTTCACACGGACGTTATCATGGACAACTGTTTTGTCCTCAAGGCCTTAGTGGACAGTGGGTCTATGGCGTGCACTATTAGCGAACAGACTGATTCAATGCTGCAGAGGGATTTTCCGGAGATTGACAGGAAGCGAGCGGACGAGTATGTCATCGTGGGCTGCGGAGGTCAACCGGTAATGCCTACAGCTATGTACGACCTCTCTGTTTTAGTGTACGGTGTCAAAGTCATTGTCCCAGTCCTAGTAGTTCCAGGCCAGTCCGACAGCATGATCCTGGGGAGCAACGTTTTGAAATGGCTCATGATGCAGATCGAAAATGGTGCAATAGACTCGAGTAAGATGGGCGCTTTTGGCAAAGAGCTACCCAAGCTGCTATCGCTCTTGTCCCATACAGTGCACCGTACTGACGCTTCGCCTTTGGATTTTGGGACTGCAAAGTTAAAAAGGTGTGTTACGTTGCAGCCTTTGACTGAGCATTTAGCGTGGGCTAATCTGTAGACGCTTCGGCGGTAGGGAGCTCTGTTATCGTAGAACCTACTCGATCTAAGACGAGACCAGCGCAGATCTTAGTGGGGAGAGTTGTCACCACTCTGTATGGGGATGGGTGGGTTCCCGTTAAAATTGTCAATCCCACGAAGAGAACACTTGTACTGAAAAAAAATGCCAAACTCGTGGACGTTTCGCCTAGTTTGTCAGTACAGGATCTACCGGAGCCACAACGTGTTCAGTCAAACACCCAGCGCACGATGGAGACTCCAGTTTTGAAAACTGAGGAAGAGATAAACAAGACACTCATGGACATGGGACTCCCGGAAGTTGACATCACGTCTTGTGAGGTGTCATTGGAGTGGAAGAACAAGCTACTCAATCTGATCGAGCGATACGACTCCACGTTCTCAAGGCACAAGATGGATTGTGGAGAAGCGAAAGACTTTGTACACAGAATCCGGTTGATGGATGACAAGCCGTTCAGACTTCCGTACAGGCGTGTCCCTCCTTGCCATTACGAAAAATTGAGGACAGCTTTGAACGAGATGGAGGAAGTCGGGATCATCAAGAAGTCACAGAGCGAGTATGCGTCTCCTCTCGTCCTCGTCGTGAAACCCAATGGTGATTTACGCATCTGTAATGACTTTCGGTGGCTTAATGCAAGAACTATTAAAGATGCACACCCCTTGCCCCACCAGACTGATGCGCTCGCTGCGCTTGGAGGCAATGTGTTCTTCTCCACCATGGATCTCACCTCGGGGTTTTACAACGTCCCGCTACACGAGGACGACAAGCGGTTCACCGCCTTCTCTTCCCCGTTCGGGCTGCACGAGTACAACAGAATGCCTCAAGGACTGACCAACAGCCCCGCAACGTTCATGCGCATGATGATGTCGATCTTCGGTGACAAAAACTTTACCAGTTTATTGTGTTATCTCGACGATTTGATGGTGTTTGCGCCGTCCGAACAGATTGCGCTAGAGCGGTTGGAGATGGTATTTTCGCGGTTAGCTGCTAACAACCTTAAGCTTTCCCCCAAGAAATGTCATTTCCTCCGGCGTTCTGTAAAGTTTTTGGGACACATCGTCTGCGAGGAGGGCATGAAAACCGATCCCAGTAAAGTCCAGGCCATCGGCGATATTAGGGAGGCGGACCTCATGGAGGCAGACGGTAAAACCCCCTGTGCCAAAAAGATTAGGTCTTTTTTAGGCATGGCCTTGTATTACCACCACTTTATCGAAGGCTGTTCGGCCAAGGCTAGGCCCCTGTTTAGTCTCGTGTCAGAACCTTCCACTCCTGAGAAAAAGGGTAGACCTCCCAGGCCTAAGTTCAAGAAAGGTTTAGTGAGATTGACCCCCACTGACTGGACTGACGACTGTAGGGAAGCGTTCGAGACCCTCAAACATGATTTGATACACAGTGTAACGTTGGCTCATCCAGATTTTGACGCTCCTTTTATCCTAGCTGTTGACGCTTCTTTCGACGGGATAGGCGCTGTTCTTTCGCAACTGTCACCTGGTAGTAAGATCGCCAGACCTGTGGCTTTTGCCAGTAAAACATTGTCTCAAGCACAGTTGAATTATCCCGCTCACCGTCTGGAGTTTTTAGCTCTTAAGTGGGCTGTATGCGACAAATTTGGCCATTGGTTAAAGGGAAGGACTTTTTCTGTTTGGACTGACAATAATCCACTGACTTATATTTTGACCAAGCCCAAACTTGACGCTTGCGAACAGAGGTGGGTGGCGAAGTTGGCGGCGTATAGCTTCGATCTTAACTATGTCCCGGGCCCTAAGAACGTAGTTGCTGACGCACTCAGTAGGGAGCCTTTTGTTAAGTCTTGCGTGGCTCACCGTCTCGTGTCTGAACCGTACTCTCACCTGCTCGCCCAAGTTAGTGAGTTAGCGGACCAGAGAGTCCAAGATGCGTTTAGGTGCACTAACAACTGCCAACGCGTAGACCAGTCTGGGGACTCTGCCAATTCGCTTTCCCCACAGCCTTCTCTGTCTTTCGACGAAGTCCAAGCGGTGTTAAGTGTCCATAGTGAAGACAATACCAGCCCGTTGCGTGTCACATGTGCTGAGGTCCCGCAGCTAGCGTGTATCACTGACAGTACTTCACTCCCGCTGAGCCAGCTTGTGTCCATGCAAGAACAGGACAACACTCTGAGTAGAGTCTTTTATTACGTACAAAGACAAAAAAGACCCTCAAATCGTGAGCGCGCACGCGAGCCAGGTGGGGTGAAGAATCTACTTAAACATTGGCCGAAGCTGTCTATTAGGGACGGATTGCTGTTCCGGTCAAAGAGAGACAATAAAATGAACGTGACGCTCCATCAGTTCGTTGTGCCGAGCGCTTTGAAACAACAAGTCCTCACTGGCCAGCACGACTCAGCGGGTCACCAGGGCCAAGCGCGGACGCTGTCTCTGGCCAGGCAGAGGTTTTTCTGGATGGGGATGGAAAAAGACGTCATCAATCACGTCAGGAAATGCTTCAGGTGCGTCGTGGGTAAAACCCCAGAGCCACATGGACGTGCGCCCTTGGAAAGTATCCAAACCTCGGAGCCGATGGAGTTGGTTTGCATCGATTTCTGGACGGCTGAACAAACGGACAAAAAATGCGTCGATGTTCTGGTTGTCACCGACCACTTTTCGAAAATGGCACATGCATTCCCCTGTAAGAACCAGTCAGCCAAACAAGTTGCCCGCCGACTGTGGAATGACTTTTTCTGCGTGTACGGCTTCCCAAAGCGCATACATTCGGACCAAGGTGCAAATTTCGAGAGTAGCTTGATGAAAGAACTTGTCTGGGGTCCAAAAGTCGCACACGACGCCGTACCATCCTATGGGGAATGGCATCACAGAACGGTTCAACAGGACTCTGGGGAATATGATCCGTGCCTTGCCCCCCCAGTCGAAAGCGAGGTGGCCCCAGATGTTGCAAATGCTTACCTTTTGCTACAATTGCACAGAACATGAGACCACGGGATTTGCGCCTTTCTACCTCATGTTTGGGAGGGTTCCCCGGTTGCCGGTCGATGTAGTTTTTCAGCACGTGCTGGAGGGTACCCCTGTCGTTGACCACCACGAGTTTATTGTGGCTTTGAGGCGTGACTTAGCTGAGGCATCGCGCATAGCCCTTCAGAACAGTAGGACAGCCCAGGCCCGTCAGACAGAAAACTACAATCGTAAAGTTAAAGGCGCGCCCCTCGTCGTGGGAGATCAGGTTTTACTCGCAAACCGAGGAGAGAGAGGGAAGCGGAAAGTTGCGGACAAGTGGGTCTCAACGGTGTTTGACGTTGTTTCCGTGAGACCGGGCGTAAATGTCTATTCTATCAGAGACCCTGACACTCAGAAAGTCAAAACAGTACATAGAAATCTTTTACTTCCCGTCAGTTTTCTTTCATCCCACGTAGAAAGCACATGTGCGTCTAATTGCCCCTCATTAGTGAACGGAGAACCGGGAATTCCTGTTGAGGAACAGGACAGTGAGACTAGGACGATTAATTGACTTCTGAACACTGAAAATGGTTCTTACCAGAATGAAGAAACGAGTCTAGTCGATGAGGAAACTGTGTCTGATCCGTTTGCTGAGTCTGACGGGGATTCCGTGGCGTCAGGTCCGTGCCAGAGCGCTTCTATCCGTGTAGAATCTAGTGGCGCGCTTTCTCAACTGTCACTGAGTGGTGGTGACCACGCCCTCCCAGAGGACCATTCAGAACTAGCTCCTGCGGATGCGATGACGTATGACGCTGCAGCTGACACGCAGCTGTTGCCTGTGCGTACTAGAGCGGGCCGATTGATTAACCCCCCTGCTCGTTTGATCTGTGAGATGAAGGAGCAGAGAGTAATGGAGAAGGACTCCTCACAGGTTGTGGGTCCTGTGTTTTCTTTTATGAGATTTTTTTTTCCAGACAGACAGCCCCGTTGGGCCCCGTTGTTTTTTTGTTAAATGTCTGTCGTGGTAGCTGTATATGAGTGAAAGGAGTGTAAATATAGGAACATTTTTAAGAGTATCGCTGCAGTACGAGGGGTGTAAACGGCACTCTTCATAACCCGCACGGGGTAGGGCTCTACTCTGTGCGATCCCTTGGGGTGGTCTTATACCGGTTTTGAGTTACTCTTGTGCGTTTTTTTTCCTCCTTTCTGTTTTTTTTTTTGTTTTTTTTTTTGGTTGCGCTCCCTATTATGCAGAATTTTAGGGGGGTGTATGTAACAGGTGTTAAAGGTTGGTTAAAATCCTGATAATAGGATCGGTGCAATTGTGTTAGTACGTACCTGGCAGTGTATGTTAGCTCATGTATGTCTTTTATTTTGGTCGTCTGGCCCAACACTTGTCACTTCCGGTTTGCCGGTATTTAAGTCAGGCTCCGCCTCTTCCTCCTTTCTCTTTCCCCTGATGTCTAAGAGAAAGGTAGCTGGTTTTAATATCTAGAGGCATCGTGTATTTAAAATTAACATCTATATAATTTCATCTTGTCTTTTATGTTATTACGTTGTTTTAGTGTCATCCCTGTTATTATTTAGTACTTACGTGTTTTCTGTTTCCTCTGTTTTATGTTCTTAGGCCGTGTTGGGCACACACATGTTTGGGCTAACGCCATTTATTTTATATTCCTTCGCCAGGTATGTAATGTACATTTATGTTTGGCTCTCTTTCCCCTGATGTCTAAGAGAAAGGCCGTGTTGGGCACACACATGTTTGGGCTAACGCCATTTATTTTATATTCCTTCGCCAGGAAATAAAAGGGTTTCGGCGTTGCCAATCCCAATTGCAGCCAAGTCTCTTCTCTGGGTTCAGAGCACCGTACACAACGCAGGGTCGCTATAGCACAGGTCACATTGGCAATAGTATGAGCAGCAAGTTTATAATCGACATTGAGTGATTGGCCTTAGATTGTTTATTTACCTTTTGTCTTTTCCACTTTTGGGAATCAGTACAATAACCCCTTGTTTCATAGTTGTCATCAGAGACTTAGATCTAATACACTTCTGTAGGGCCAAGAAAAGAAGATCTTTTAAATCTTCCCAAAAGTGATGAGAGGCCGTCAAGCCCCCTTCTTGTCCGCAGGTCCGCCGGTGAGTTGGTCTGCCTGTCGAGATGATCTGTCTCAGCTGTTATTGATGTAATGCAAACCAGCACTGCGCGTCTCACAGCAGCCAAAGCTGCCGTAAGTTAAATACGAACGAATTAAGACACGAATGTCACTTTTAGGGCTGGGCGATATGGCAAAAAAAAAAAATCTCCGATTTTTTCACATCAAATCCAATTTTTGATTTTAATCGATTAATTTTTTTCTATTTAAAAACAAACTACAACTGACAAAGAAATAGATTTTCCTTTATGCAGTTTAATCTAAATCCCCATGGAGCATAAGTGTAACAGGAATTAAGCCTTCAAACATGCTTGTAAACGAGATGGCTCTGCCATTGTAAACAGTGAAAATGTAGCTTAACAGTTTTATAATAACTTCACTTACAATGACACTATGCACCTTCAAAATAACTTAAATCACACAAACAAGGCCCATTGCAAATATATCAATCCTATTAAACACATGCATTATTTACATGAAATATCACATTTTTAAAACTGATTACTCAAAATAGAAATGTTGTAACAGACAGTCTTTTCCAAAAGCCTCCTCGGGTTTTCATGCTTGTTCTTTCAACTGTGCCTGAGTAACTGTGCTGTAGTACAACGCTCGGTCCAGCTGGTGGCGCTAATACTAACTTCAGTGACTCCCGCATTGTGCGAGCTTCCTGTTTACATTCTGATGCTGTAGCTAACAGCTACTCATGGATGTATTATATTAACTGGATAGGGTATTACTAGCTTGTAGCTGAATAACTCATGTGCTCAGGGGATTCTCGCGGTACTGCAGACTGAACCAGACTAAATTCACGTGGGCTACCCAGAAATTTTCCCCATAGAACTCAATGCATATTAAAACAGCTCAACCTCAGCTGACAGAGAACCTACAGCTTTAATAAAGATCGGATTTTGTGGGGATTTTAGTGTCCCTTGTCATCCTGAACTTTTTTTCTTCTTAAATCCTTCGGTTTTGTTTAAATCCACACTTTAGTGCCACAAACTCTGCTCGTTTGGCTCTCGCTCTAACTCCCGCTCTGATGAACTGCTCTGATTGGTCAGAGCGCAGCCGAGCCCCTCTGTGCACGTGCGTGAGACCCGGTGTGAGACCCACACACGCGTGTTTGGCGCAACGCATTATGGGAGATCATCCACCGCGCATAACCGGGAGGACCAGACGATGCCCAAATACAGGCGAGTTTCCCATAGATCTTTGCGAGTTTCAGGCAACTTCCGCTGATCTTTCAGCCCCCATGCCGTCACAAAGCGCCACTGAGCACAACCATTCATTTGAATAGGGCGCCATCTTGGATCGCCGGGGCTTGCAGCTACTGTAGCAGCTACTGTAGATAACAGACAGCGGGGAACACGTTGTTTGTATCAGAGCAATGAGAGCAATGTGTGAGACGTGTCTTTCCCCAAAGTGCAGCGGCTCAGTGGGACACGAGTGTGTGCGCGCCACGGACACGGGAGTGCGCTTTGGAATAACGAGCGTGAGAGAGCGTGAAAGATGTGGCGTACGAACATGGCGTAAGAACATAGCGACCGGAGTCTGCGTGCATGTGTGTGTGTGTGTTCTGGCGATTAAATAAAGTCTGATTCTTGAATGTTTGAAGTGTTATTGCAACAGCACCAACTGTGAGAGCGAGCATCAGGCCAGAGGGAGACTGTTAGCATTAGGTTAGCTTCAAAATGACTGCTCAACACCATAGACCCGCGGTTAGCGCGTTAGCGCTGTAGTTCTGCGCTGGAGAAAATAAAAATCGAATTTTTAAAAAAAGAAATCGCCCTAAACGTAAAACTCGAATTAATGATACAAATCGATTAATCGCCCAGCCCTAGTCACTTTTAATGCAATTTGAGGCGAGATGTTGATGGTTCCGCGTTGTGATATGTCGGTTTTAAGAGTAAGAGTTTCGTGTAAAGTTTGTTTTAAGCAGTCCACTGCTCCTGTGAAACTACACTGCTAGTGTGCCCAAATCTGACTTGCGCATGCGCAGCAACCCGCCAGAATGGGGAAAAAACTCAATCTAATTAAATATTTCGTTTGAACACACTATTATTAATCACATTGAATACAGTATGATACATGCATAAAATGTAATTTGTTTTTTTCATTATTAACCCAACAGACCAGTCACAGGACGCGTCATCACAGGAGCAGTGTACTGCTTAAAACAAACTTTACACAAAACTCTTACTCTTAAAACACACATATCACAACGTGGAACCATCAACATCTCGCCTCAAATTGCATTAAAAGTGACATTCGTGTCTTAATTCGTTTGTATTAAACTTTTAAAGCAATTCGCGGACTACATGTCCGCCATCTTGGATTGCTTCGGCTGCCGTTAGACGCGCATGCGCAGGTTTGCATTACATCATTAACAGCTGAGCCAGATCATCTCGATGGGCAGACCAACTCGACAGAACACCTGTTAACGCCCTTTTTAGAGAGAGTTTTTATGTTCATGTGGGGGCGAGCAGGCTGTATACTGCTGGGACATAATGTACACGTTTATGTGTCGCCTGAACATTAGTGCGAATTTGATGCTTTTAGTGACGAGCATACCTCTGCACTGTGGAAACACTGCTATGGTTGCCTCCTCTAAAGATATTTGACTTTTATTGCTTCATGTCTGTTTCTAGTGTGTTGTGTCTTGTTTATTTGTTGTTCTGGACTACTAGTCTAATAAAGCTACCCATCCATCCATATTTAATTTGCTCATAACCACATGTCAGTGTGGTAATCGCGAGCAGAACAATAAGTCTGTTGTGTGTATGTGTCCCATGTCCTGCGGCAGCTATACCTCTCTGCGCCTGATCTTCTGCGCCAGCTGCGTAGCGGACTCCAGCAACAGCGGGTCGCGGACCGGGGGCAACCTCTTGTTGGACTCGGCCCCCCGCAGAGACAGAAGAGCCAGAGCAGGGCATCTGTTTCTGTGGCGTAGAGCAGCACCAAGAGCCGCTCCACCAGGCTCTGCGCCATGATCCTGCTGCGGTCTTTGGTCCGGGTCTGGTCTGAGACTGGAGCAGACTGGGGCAGACTGGACTACCGGTTCAGCTCCAAACAAACCCGTCCAACCTAAAAAAAAAAAAAAAGAAAGTTCATTTGTAAAATATCCATAAGACAACCTTCTCACAATCCAAACCTTGCTTCAGAGTTCTACTTTGAATGAATACATTCAAGAAAAGAATGAATGTAACAAAAAAGCAAGACGTTTAAATAACATGTATGTATATGTATGTGTGTGTCGTTTTTTAATTGTGTCTCTCTTTCAATCACATTATTCATACTAAGACACCGTTTAGTCTTTAAACTTCAACGTGAGGAATAATAGCATTAAGCACAAAGCAACAACCACGGCTATATGCTTAACGGTGATAAACTACTATCCCTTACATCCTCGCCTCAGGTCAACAACAAACTTACGCAATTGCCTTGAGTGGTTTAGTTGCGGTGGCAGAGAATCGCCAGCAGAGGGCGACATAGAACAAGTGCACAGAAGGATACAAAGTGAGGTCAGTGGGTCAATGGGCCTGCTGCGTTCACGTTCTAGGAACTTTACGAAGTAAAATAATAAAAATAATGATAATGATATTAATTACAATTACAATTATGCAAACGTAGATAAACAAACGAATCATCAATCAATCCATTTTATTTATAGAGCCCTTTACAACACTCAAGGCGACCAAAGTGCTTCACAATAAAATTACATAAAATCCATTGAAATATTTATACATTAAAACAATAAAACAGTAAAAAAAAATACATTTAAAAAACATAAAAACATTAATGCTGGGGTACTTACATTTTTGTTTCATTCAAAAAAATCTTTTGCATACTACATAAGAAAGGGCTTTGTGACTCCCTATGACGATTGATTAGGTAGTCAGATGTGCCCCAGGGCATCTGTGGCTATTCGAGCTACAACTGCCCTGGGGCACATTAACAGAAGCAAGGCAAACCAGTTCGTGCATTGGCCCCTCCGACAACCAGCAACCATACGCATCAGTGCAAGGGGGAAGTATCTCACCTCAGGACTCAACAATGTTTTGGCCTGGTTAGTACCGTGATGGGAGACCATGTCCTGCTTAGCTTCACATGCAGGTGGCGCCAAATATTTTTCATCTGTCACACAAAATTTAACAGATATTGAAGTATACAGGAAACTATAGAACTAGAATCAAACTGTTTTCAGGGTGCGGAGCTAGTGTTATGGATTTCAATCACATTATGGCCCTAACCCACCTTTAAGTGTAAAACAATACAATATCTGACAATAGCACAAAAGCAGACGATGCAGAAAGACAATTATACAAACAAAATATAGCTAAAGCTGTCCTGTATCGTTCACTGTGGGAGATTTGTTGCCAGGTAAGACTAAAGACACAGCTTTAAGTCCAACATTTAAGTCTCTGCTCCTCTCTATGAAGAAGAGGTTTCGCAGGTCCTTCCTCCCCGCTGATGTCAGACTGTACAACGAGAACTGCTGAGTCTATATATGTGTCACTCATCTGTTCTGATAATAACTCACTAGTCACTTACTAGTCGCTATAGTCACTTTACCTGCTGCTATTATTACTATTGTTTATTCTGGTCACATTAACTGCTGCTAAAGTACAATCTGTAAATACCTCCGAACCAAGTGCAATTATATCTTTATGTGAATCTATTTTATTATCTTAATACTCATTATTTTATCATTTAAATACTATTATCTTAAATAATAGATCTTGTTTGACGTGTGCTTTTATTTTCTACTTTTTTATTCTGCTGTGACGCGCGCAACGATGATGATGGTAAAAATCAGGAATGTCATGTGAAAATTGAAATCTTTTTGCAGCCGCTTAAATGAATTATTGATAATGGGGAAGGCACTTATTAGCTTTTTGCTTCTGCCTTCTCCTTTTGAGCTTACTTTCTTTCTTGAATTATATGTCACGGTACAAGAAAAACATATAAAATACATTGTAAAACTGCTTAAATAAAGATACTACTACTACTACTACTACTATTACGATGACATTGAAATTTCCCCACAGTGGGACAAATAAAGAACCATCTTATCTCATCAAACTTTACATTTTTAGGGGAAAGCAGAAAAATACTTGACTTGGATGATGCCCATTGGGTTCCATCATTCCATGCCTGTAATCTGACACTCTCTCGCTGATGAGCCGCAGAATCAGGCGTGTAAGAACAAGAGGGTGAAGCCGGAAGAAGCACAAAAGTCTGTCTTCAAACATGTGCACAGCTTTACCACATAATAATCTCGCTTCACAGATTGCCGTGACTGTTTTATTTCGCGTTTCTGACCTTTTATTGCTGCTTAATCTGGAGGTGCTCTGACATGGTTTAGTGCGTTCGCCGCTTCGGGCTATAACAGAGACAGGGGTCATTTGTCGTGCATAGGATGTCTTTAGGCGATTTGTGTGAGATCTGTTTCTGTATATGTTCCGTCCTGTTGCTCAGGCTGGGATCTCCTTCCACTTGAGGACATAACTTAAAACTTGAGCCTTAACCGCTTTCACCATTTGCACACAAGTCCTGCTATATATAGTTCCATTCAATTCATTTCTGTGTAGCCCTTAATCACAACAGTAGTTATCTCAGAGGATTTTTAAAAAACGTTGAATTTGCCAACACAGATGAGAGAATCAAACAGTTAAAACACAAGAAATGCAGTGATAAAAACACATAGATCCGTTGGTCCATAAGGGACAGATGACCATTGTTCATAAATGTTAGTAAATGTCCATAAATGTTGAATCTTGAGTCTTCACCGCTTTGCCCCTCTACGCACAAGTCATGCTGGTATAGTCACTTATGCAAAGACTGATTCTGACTTCAATTAAGCCAATGAAATCTCGAGTGGTGCCTGAAGAGGTAATTGAGTTTACTGATCCTAGAGGCACAGGCTGGACTGATTAGGAACCTTTTATTTGGCTCTTGTTAACCTCAAGAGAAGATAATCCCTGCATTTTATCACATCCATGTATGTCTGAATACACAATGTTACATTCTAATTCATATAAGTTTGTGTGTTCACTGCATAAAGTTGTGATGAATAAATCAAAAATTGCTCAAATTTGGCAAAATGTATCTTAATCTGAGCGCATTTTGATTGCCGTAAAACAAGATTTGCAAATATGTCTCCCTTGGAATGAGAAAATGAACCAACTAGTCTGTAAATAAGACTAAATGGTGTTGGGCTGGTGCTCTGTGTACTGGGTGGCATCTCTGACTGCCACCCCCCCCCCCGACCCAGAATTGGATTAAGGGGAAGAAAATGGATGGTGTTGGTCTACTGGCAAATCTTGTTTAAAGACTGTCAGAATATACTAAAGTTAGATAAAAACACATGATTCAACATATTTTTTAATGATTTTTTTTTAGTTTGTGTGTGTGTGTGTTATATCAGTCTAATAATTCAGTTGGCTCTTTATACATATATATTTACAATGATACAATGTCTCTTGTTGCAATTTATCATGAACAGTGTACACTTACGAAGCGCGATAACAAAATGCATTACTGTTTTAAGGTCAACAGAAGTCAGTCATAAATGTGCCAAATTGTGATTCCGCTGGTAAGAAAGGTAGAATACAGTATTGATTATTATTATTCATTCTGTGGCTGTAAAGGGAATAATTCAGCAGGTTCCTATTGGATGTCATGTGGGACACTTTTATCCCTGATGAGAAATTGAGGAGGCCTCCCAGGGGCCTGCTCCCCCCTCTCTCTGCACCTCCAGGGACTGCTCAGACTGGACCACGAAACAGCTGGTCTGCTGCAAAAACCAATTACACACTCACACATGTCGTCCCCCAACTACCCCCCTAACAGTCTAAGGAGAGACTGGGGGTCCTCACAAGACACGGAAACACTGATACGCCAGGATTATACAGAATGTAACCTGAAAAATTATTCTATATGGTTTAAAACTTCTAGCTGCCTCATGTGGATAGACATATACTGTAGATAGTTAGACACTTTATCAGAAAATGTGTTATTGCCATTGTGAGTAACAGGAAGTCACAAACTAGGGTAAAAGCCATAATAGTAAAAATAGAATGAGGTATACATAAAAAGAAAAAAAATCTTCATGACATTTCTTAAAATTATAACTATATACAAGCGCTATATAAAAACTGATGTATTATATTATTATTATTATTGTTGTTATTACTATTTAGTACATTTTCTTAATTATTGGTGTTGATCCCCCATTGGAGCTTGGTGTCCTGTGATGACTGTGAGTGACAGTGGCTCAGTTGGTAGAGCATTGGCCTTGAGCCTGATGGTCGTGGGTTCGAGACCACCATAAGACCTACTTCACGACTCCCACTGATGACTGCTGTCGTTGTGTCCTTGGGCAAGACACTTAACCCCACTTTGCCTGAAGCCCCCACTGAAAGATCTCAGCTTCTGTGGACTCACCACCTGCAGGAGGATCAGTGAGGGGCTGGTGCTCAGTGTACTGGGTGTAGCTCTGACTGTCACCCCCCCGACCCAGAAATGGATTAAGGGGAAGAAAATGGATGGATGGATGGACTACAGCCTTCAGTACAGAATTATGTTGCCTTTTCAAATCATTTTTCAGGCAAATGCTTTCACCCCCAAGTGTGAGAATAAGTTTATTGAACAGTTTATTGTTTTTCTTTGTAAATCCCATATTATTTCAGTCCCTCTCAGCTCACATGTCACTCCTCTCTGGGTCAAACCACTGGGGGCAGATGTGAGAATTAGGTGGAGCCAGTAACATTCTCCTCTTCACACCCAAAAGGTCAATACCCAAAGACAAATAATAATTGACGTTGTAAAAATAAAACTAATAAATAAAAAAAAGTGAAAAAAATGATCCATCTTTTTGCTTTTGCTGGTTTGACACACTGGAAATTGCATCTTTTTGTGATAAAGTATAGATAAATAATTCATATTTTATTTATTTATTTAACCTAATTACAATAATGATATATATTTATTACCATTGTAAAGCGCTTTGTGACTCCAGTCTGTGAAAGGCACTGTATAAATTAAGATTACTTAATTATTCACTTACACACTAATTTTCTGACATTATATTTGTATTTAATTGTTTTTGCTCACCTTATAAGAGGGTAATGTTTGACAACCATAGATGGCAGCATTGTTTGGTATCCATGGTGACCAGGCATAAAACTGCTTGTAACTTGAACTGGATCTGTTATTAAAAGTTATAGGTTCTAAAAGTTGGTCTGAAGAACTAAGATGGAATTGCAGCGCTGCCTCGCTCTCCCAGCCTCATGAATTATTCACCAGTGGTCTTCAATAATTCAGAATAAACTTATATCTCAATTTTTGTATTTGGGGATTTTTTTTTTCAGCACAATTTGAAATAGATAAATGGATCCAGCAGGTCTGCGCTTGTCTCATCTAAGTGTGAAATGTTAGACACAGTTTTTTATGGCTCCGTGTGTCCCCCGGCTGCAATCATACACATTCTGACGAGAAGCTGTGAAGAGCGTGAAACCATCTCTGACTTTCAGAAGCGTGATCTGCTGTTCTGGAACTCTGCTTCTGGTTTGGTTCATGGCGGAGACTTTATGCATGTGATGTGAGCAGAATTCTATAATAACAACTACAAACACAGATCGATTCTAATCAAAATCACCGGACCTTACTAGGACCATAGGACTACAGTGGGACTAAACTGGGACCAAAGGACTACAGTGAGACTAAACTGGGACCATACTGGGACTACAGTGAGACTAAACTGGGACTACAATTGGACTATGCTGGGACCATACTTGGACTACAGTGGGACAAAACTGGGACCATACTGGGACTACAATTGGACTATGCTGGGACCATACTGGGACTACAGTGTAACTAAACTGGGCACATACTGGGACTACAGTGGGACTGAACTGGGACCATAATGGGACTCCACATAATGGGACTAAAGTGGGACTATGCTGGGACAAAACTGGGCCCATACTGGGACTACAGTGGGTCTATGCTGGGACCATTGTGAGACCATACTGGGACCATAGTGAGACCACACTGGGACCATAGTGAGATCATACTGGGACCATATAGTGAGACCGTATTGAGACCACAGTGAGACCATACTGGGACCATAGAGAGACCATAGTGAGACCATAGTGGGACCACAGTGAGACCACAGTGAGACCATACTGGGACCACAGTGAGACCATAGTGAGACCATACCGGGGCCAAAGTAAGACCATACTAGGACTACTGTGGAACTAAACTGGGACCATAGTAAGACCATACCAGGACTACTGTGGATCTATACTAGGACCATACTGGGAATATAGTGAGACCATACTGGGACTATTGTCGGACCATACTGGGACTATAGTGGGACCATAGTGGGACCATAGTGGGACCATAGTGGGACCATAGTGGGACCATAGTGGGACTATAGTGGGACCATACTGGGACTATAGTGGGACCATAGTGGGACCATAGTGGGACCATAGTGGGACCATAGTGGGACCATAGTGGGACTATAGTGGGACCATAGTGGGACTATAGTGGGACCATAGTGGGACTATAGTGGGACATATGGAGCACAGACATGTGTCTCGTGAGGAGATGCTGAGAAGTGGGTCAAGCTCGCGCGCCCCCACAGGTGGATTTTGCGGCGGTCACGTGGGTACACGCCCCACGACGTCGCCTATAAAAAAGATCTGAAGAGCGGCGTTCTTCTTCCTCCTGTGAGCCTACACGCTACTCACAAGCTCTCACTCTCAAACACGCACGCACACGCACGGGCAGCAGAGGCAGCAGAGGCAGCAGAGGCCGGGGACGCTGCAGTCACAAACGCCTTTCCGCTCCACGCTTCTCGGCGGACTTCAAGCTGCATGGACCAGAGCAGGTAACGTGTGTCGTCTGCAGCCGCTGGAGCCGCCGTGCGTCAGCATTTTCTGTGCGCGTGTCTGTCATGACGAGCCCCAAACTCGAGCTCAGTTTGCTCCATTATTCACGAGCCGCAGTGATGAGACGCGGCTGTCGTCCTCATGGATCTGTGCTGGGAAACGGCTCGGTGCTTCTGTTATCAGTCATTACAGCAGAAAGACAAACGGCTCCTGATGGATTTATGTGGCTTCTTTCTAAACACCCTCTGCACCATTCTCACAAGCGCCACATTCTATCCTCAAAACTTCAAGGTCGCAATATAATTCAGGACTGTGTGTTTAATGGTAACAAGTGCGTTTTTTTTTTTACAAGTAAAGCATTTCAATTCTTTGAATTCTGGCCATGCTATATAATTTGGCTATTTTAAATATGCATTATTATATTAGACATATTTCATTTTGCTTTTCAATCCATCCATTTTCTTTAATTAAAACAGTCAGAACTGAAAGTGCCATAAATATGTGTTTATTGGATTCTGTGTGAGATTGCCTGTTCACATGCCTTATGCCTGACACCGCCCCCTCTCCTCTCTCCCTCTCTATGCTGCGCTGCTCTGGACATCCCATTGATGGAGGGCAGAAGAGGACCCCAGCCGAGCCTCCGCATGATACAGGACTTTGTGCCAGGAGACTGCACAGTCTGGACACAGCCATGAAGCCACACAGACCGATGCTGCAGGAGTCTTCCCAGGATTATTAACATAGCTAACATTTGGTTTCCAGGGAGCTTCTGTCCTTTAAGTGGACATGGGAAACGTAAACATTAGCCGGACTAAATTTTAAAGCTCTTCCCTGTCCTGTCTCCACCTGGGATGTCCATCATGGAGGTGGACAGGATGGAGCAGGAGGAGGCGGGAGCAGAGCCCTTCATCCACAGTGTCCATGGCCCTCACAGGACCAGGCCGTCGTCCTACCGGGCCCTGCGCAGTGCCGTGTCCACGCTGGCCCGCATCGACGACTTCACCTGCGAGAAGATTGGGTCAGGCTTCTTCTCTGAGGTCTTTAAGGTGAGTCTATCTGCAGTCTCGATCACCATGGTAACTAAGGTTAGGATTACCTGGGTTTGGTTGTTTTTTCATGAAACCAACTCAAACTTGGGTTGACCAGACCAGTCGCTTCAGGTCATGTCATTTCTGCTCCAATGAGTTGTTATCCTCCTGGACCAATTCAGAGTTTTTTAATATATTCGGTTTTAGTTTTTATTACAATACAACATGTGTACCTATATAGATGGATAGATAGATACTTTATTGATCCCCCATAGGAGACCACTTCACAAAGCTAACCATTGCACTGAGATGGGCCTCATTCTGCTTGAAATAATCTATTCAAGGGTTTCCACTTCCTGTTTTATGCAGCACTCTGTGGAACCCTTTTCCATTCCAAATATCTAGTATTTTGTTTTAAGCTGTTACTTCCCATATTAACATTTTTCCGTTGTTATTGTGTAAAACTTTGATCTCCATGGAGAACGTTCCGAAACTATGCTTTTGACTTGATCTCTCTGGAACCAGCAGCTGCCCACCACATCAAAAAACTATGTACTGATGGCTCTGATGCAGTGTTAATATTGTTTTTCAAAATTGTTAAAAATCTGTTGAATTCTGTTTTTGGCAGCGGATGAGTGGCCCCTTAAATAATTGAGTATTTGGTAGGATGGAAGTGAAGTCATGGCCAGCACAAGATGTCATTACACTGGGGCTTTATTACATTGGAAGCACTGCTGTAGTTTTCCACAACTGCACTAATTGGTGTTTATCATTGAAGTATCTGTTGTTGGTTAATACAGATTGTTTTTAGTGGCTTTATGTTTCTATTGTGAGGGCTATTGTGTTCTAAACATGGGCAAAGTTCTGATAAGAACTGTACTGCATTTTGGGAAGGCAGCTATCTTCTTTAGATCCTTTTCTTAGTTCAGAACAATCCAATTAACTGAGCATGTCACATCCACAGCCTCTTCGTCCTAAAACATGTTCTCTATGAAATTCTCTTTGCTTTCTTGCCGATCCGAAAAATTTCAAATTATCTGACCCCTATTGACCACCCTGTAATCCAACTCTCACTTCCTTTCACAAACTAAACAGTTTTTGTTGCAACTGCTTCATCTCCACTTTGTAAAAATGTACCTAATTGTAGGTGGTGATGCCACGTTATATAAGAGATGGCACCACACATGTTCTCCGTGACCCCAGTGTTGTTTGAGATGGATGTTGTTGTTCGAGGGGGTGTAAGTTGATCCGCTGTGGACAGGTAGATCTCCGTAACTCTACCCCCCTCATCAAACTCAGACCTCATGCCTTTGTCGTGGTGTCGTTCACCTGTGTACAAGCCCCAGTCCAAGCGCCTCATTAGTGCCAGAACGCCTGCATGAAAGATCGCTCCTAGAGGCCGCCACCAACTGACCTTCTCATCGCACCGTCCGAGGCATTCGCAGAAGCAAGCTGCCATTTCTGATTAATTATTAGTGTTGTTTGTCCCAGAGGCCTGAGTACAAGTCTAGCTGAAGTATTGGCTTTTCTGTGCAGAGTTTGCAAGTTTCTCCCTGTGTCTGGGTGGTTTTTCCTCTGTCTCTCTTTGCGAATGTCTGTCCTGACTGCATCTCGTGACACACACATCTGTACATATTATGATTGTGTTGTTTGAGATGGCACTATGTTTGGGGAGTCAACGCTCATGGCCCTGTGACTGCTGAATCAGATGGTCCAACTTCAGTGCTATGGTAAAGAATGAAGGCTGTAGGAGTGAATGGGTGTTGTCATTGGTAGCTTTGTGCGGAATCTATGGACATAACATTGAACAAAACATGTGCATTGTTGTTTTTCCTAATTTTCAAACACATGTCCTCAGGGTGCTTTTACATTACAGAAGATCAAATACATTTCATGCAATTAAAATACTAATTTGCACATGAGAATAACTCTGTCTCGATCTTAACCACTGTTTGCGCTCTCTGTTGAAGATGCTCTTGTCTGTAGTTTTTAGATTCTATTTAATTAATTTGTTTATGTATTTATAAAGTGGTAGAGCGCTAATCTGCAGTGTGGCGGTAGTAGAGTAGGGTGAAGTGGAGTTGGACTCTAATGGCCACTCCTTCAGCCCTGCCCTTTGAGCATGCAAATGTCACTGTGTTTACTGCCTTCCTATCAATCCCCCACTTACGGCCAGATTGCATTGCCAATATGAATGCAAAATTGTTAGCACGGCTATAAGTCTTATCAGTCATCTAAAAACAGCCTGGTTGATTGTCCACACGTCCTGATTCTGTGCAAAGATGAAACCAGAGAGATCAGACTGCTGTGTTTTTGTACGGCCTCAAATGTCTGTAGTGGACAAGAAGGCTTTGAAATGGACGTCCCGCTAAAAGGACTCTGGACTCCTGCCATGTGTTTGAGCCCCACATGGATCAATGGAGGCTCTCTGCAAGCAGCGAGGCGGCCATTCACGTCCGTTGTGTGCAATTGTGCAATGTGAAAAACCCAAAGCAAAAGGCAAGAAAGGAAAGGAGCACACGTGTCAGGACAAATCCTTCAGGTGCTGTTTTTCTTCTTTTATTTGCTTCAAAGGAAAGCTCCCAGTCTGTAATTTCTTGTCCCAGCAGCTCCTTGTGCCCCAGTCTGCACTGAAAACACACTGCAGCTATAAAACGGCTCAATCAAAACTAATAGTCGTATCACTCAACACAATTGACTCCCAACTATTATTTTCAAGACTAAAGCTGCAGTCCTATTGGCTCGCAGCTGTCGTCTGTGGATATTTGCCAAGTGAGGAAGAATTGAGACATTATTAGCCTGATGCAAGACGGCGCTTATTACTTATAACCAGCATTTAACAAACTTAAATATTATTTGTGTTTTATTTATGTTCCTCAGTCTCTCAGGCCTTCGACACTCCCGGGAATTCCCATAACATGGTTGTAAGCCAAAACGGAGTTGGCAATATGGTGTGGGAGCATTAAAAGTTTGATGAATAGAATTGAAAAGAATTAGTTGATTTGGATTAATAGAAGAATGAAACAAAATCAAACCATTAGTGGAGGGAATTAGTATCACGATACATGGGTCATGATACGATGCATTCTGATACTAATCTTTTAAGATGACCTTAACTGTTTCTCAGGAATTTAAGTGCAGTTTACCTTAAGACATGTTTGTAAAAGAATGCCATAGTAGTTTCAAATGGGCAAATAAGAACTCCATGAAATTGTGTCCATGTATTTTGAGAAGACAATGACACTTGCACAATTCGAGAAACTAAATTTGGACTCTTACTGTAATGTCTCGGTCAAAGCTAAGACGCCTTTAGTGAACAGTCAAACTAAACAGAGTCCAGTTAAATAGTTCAGTTTGGAAGTGACAGTTCGTCTGCAGCTGTGTACAAAGTGGTTTCATAAAAATAGGAAATGTATCCATGGTAACAAGTTCATTTAGCACATGAAGGATGAACCAAATAACAATTATAGGGCAACTGTGCAAGGATCACACACTGGACACTCGGAATGAGGAGCACACAGCACAAGATAAATTAATCCCTCTACACTAAAAAAAGCAAAATCTCCTATGTTAGCATAATAAAGAAGCAAGTATACTGTATATTCTAGTGCAAGATATATATAGTTGTATGTATACATTTGCACATGTTAGCACCATGAGGGTATATGAGGATATTGCACATTCTGACATTAGTTACTATTTACAATACTCTTTAAGGACAGTCAAGATGGATGAATGAAATACAGTGGATGTTTCTGATGTTGCTGAACCCTGTCTCTTGATTTGAGTTCAGACATTTGGCCGTTTGCTGCATTAGCACAAAGAGGAAACTTTGTTTTGAGAGTGGGAGTTGAGCTGCAGTCACAAACACCACTATCATGATAGTAATTATGAGAGACTGCGATTAGTGGCCACTGATGAGGCCGATGGGGGTGGATCTCTCCTGATATGGTAATAAGCAGTGCTCTTGTTTACGTCAGCTGCTGGCGACAGGCGAGAGTTCATCTTCCCAACGGAGTCTCGCTCTCTCAATATTAATGTCTCTTTAAATACAACATGACATTATTCTCAGTAGCGTCCATAGTGGAGAATAAAAGTTTGTCAGGGCTGACCTTGATTCTTCTTTTTAGTTATGAAATGCTATTGTTTAATGCTGTTAAAGTAGAATACATGCATGCAGCTTTAAATGCCTTAATTTTATTATGTGAAGTTTGAAAGAGTAAGATGACGAGGATGTTCTGCCAAATAAGCTTTTTTCTTTAAACAGATGTTGTAGTCTGTCTGTAGAATAATTTGGGTATGTTGGTAGTTGGTGCTTTTGTGACCACTTCAGAATATTTTTTTTTGTGCCATTGTAAGTAGCTGTAGGTCACAAAATAGGAATTTGATTTGGGATATGATGCTACTGGTATAGTTATACAAAAGTACAAACAATGATAGAGACATACTTGCATACATACTAAAAGTCCTGTCTTGAGTTTGTATGCCAGTGTGGGCTTTACATTAGGGTGTATTCGAACCACTGAATTTGTAGATTTTGATCGAGAAATAAGTTTCCTCCAAAATTCTTGTACATTTTTAGGTCAGAATAAAGATAATCTGACTCTGATCCATTCGAACCCAGCCCCATCTCTGCTACGAATTATGAATGGTCTGAATAAAAACCGCCTCGATCCAAATCAAACGTGTAACGTGCTGCTTTCTGGGCCTTAAGTTAGACCCAGTGAGACAGAGCATTGGGCCGATTCTCATATGTTACTTTGTGTTCCGCTTGCTAATGCTGTGAGAATATAACTTAAGTCTGCATCTGATCCAGTAAAAATAAACAGACTTTTGGCCTTTTCTGATCTGAATGCTCCCTTCTCTCTTCTTTCTTGGCTCCAGTTGAGACCTGCAAAATGCCAGCCCCAAAGCATTTATGCTTGTTTATGTGTTTTGCAGCCAAAGTTGATCATGTGACCTTCCCTTCCACTGTCTAACTACTGCTTTTAAATCTTTTTGGATTAAAATGTAGAAGTGTTGGGCAAGACGAGTTTTACAATATTGTTTTTAAAGAACTGGCTTTTTTCCATGTGAAGCTTTGCTTTGATTAGTTTGATGACAGAAAAGCAGGTGAAAAAATAAACTTGCCTCGTAAACCTAGAGCTGGTTGCTGTGCTGTTATTTTTTGTTATGTGTAAATGTACTTTTATTGTGCCGCTTTGCCCAAAAAATAAAAGTATTTGACTTCCATTATTTCAATGTCTCTGTTGGCTGTGATCGTAACTGATGCATTATCAGTTTTTCCTCGCAGATGCAGGGAGGTCTAATGATTTATGGACTTTTTCAAAAAGTATGGGCATTTGTCATCTGCCCCTTATGGACCAATGGTTCTGTATTATTTATCATTGCATTTCTTGTGTTTTAACGGTTTGATTCTGTAATTTGGCTTTGTAAAGTCTGAGATAACTATTGTAGAATTAAATTGAATAGAATGACATAAAATGACCTGCCATTTATTTAAACATTGATAATGCCCAGAGTCATTTTAAGAGAGCTATATTAGACCATTAGTGTAGTTAGATGGGGAAAAAAGCAATAGATCAAAAATCTTCATCTGTAACTGAAGCTTGTATCCTATTTGTATAAATGTACAGTAAGTGTAGTGCTCATGGTGCCGTATCATTATCAAATCTGTTTTTTTCTTGTAAATTCACTAAACTCGTGTGGATTTGCGAGAAGGGCTGGTCGAGCATCTCCTTCCTCCGTAATGCTTCTGTGGTGTAAAAGCCTCTGATGATTGCACACATCCACAGGTCTGGCCTCGAGATGAGAGTCCTGCTGCTGCTGACTGCTCCAGAGGCGTGTGGGAGAAGGAGGGCGTGGCCGTGTTCTGTCGTAGTGTTCGTAGGCCTTTTGTAGACGTCTGAGGTGACTCTAGAGGAGTGGCTGTGGACGTCTCAGAAGCAAGTTGATGATACACATGAATGTTTATCTGTCTGGTAGTCTGCCATTAATACTAGGGCTGCTTTTGGTGTGTATTAGAGACCAGTGATGAGACAATCCTCCGTAAAACATGTGCCTTAAAGGTGATGTCAGTTTCTTAAATGGTCTTTCATTTTTAAACACATGTATCATTCTGACCATGTGACACTGTACCTTTTATGTACAGTAAGTATTTTTCAACAGTAATATTTCTAGATGGTCCCTCCTTTGGCATATCTACGGCCAGGAAGATTTTTTTGGAGGAGAATAGTTAAACCAAGGGGCGTCAAGGCTTTGAATACATTTTGACCAGTCAGGAGGCTTCTGGGGTGAGCATGGGCGGGTCTAACTAGTGCTGGTCTTAAAAAAGTTTAATTCTCTTCACGATTTCAAAAGTAACTGGCATGTACTTAAAGGTATATAGGAGGATTTTCCCAAATTTTAGGAAAGAATCGCTATGTATCACCAGAATGATTGTCCAATAGTCTTGATGATCCACCCGGATGTAGAAAATCCTATCTACCTTTAAAGCTGCAATGTTTGACTCCTTTATGAGTCTTATTGGTTACTCCTGCTATAGAAAAATACAGAACAAATCAGTCCCAAAAGAGTCACAGCTGCCTTTTGAAAGGCTTTGATTATGTAAAGATGTGAGTTTTATTTTCACTTTAGTCTCAGGTCTTGGATTCGCTGCTTTCATGTTGATTCTCCATTGACGGTTTGGCTAATGGCTTTGCTCCCTACGATCCAATAATCTTTCTAACTTATCGCTCCACTGTCCACTCCCTGCACTCATCCATCATTGCCTGCACACTAATGAAGTCAAAACACGACCCCAAAGGGTGGCCTTTCACCTGCTAACGTTAACTGAGGGAGACTATTTTGACGACTGGTAATAAACACTGATTTACTTCAAAGTCCGAGCTGTAAAAGCAAGATTCACTGTGCCCAGAGGGGAATCCAGGGTGTGAAATGAAAAATTGGACCTGGACATGTTATAATAATTTTAGAAAGGCACTCAAGACTCTCCTCTCTCTATAACTGATACTTGGTCTTGAAGTTATGGCATGGTAAAGGTTAATGCATCCAGGTCCAGTGAGAAGCAGTCTATAGACCAGGCATGTCAAACCGATCCTTAAAGGGCCAGTGTGGCTGCAGATTTTAGTTCCACACCAGACTTCACCCATTTCCTCAGATGAATCCAGTTTTAAACCGAAGATTTAAGGAAATTGGTGGAGTCTGATGTGCTCTTGCTCGGGTTGGAACTAAAACCTGCACCCACACTGGCCCTTTGAGGACCAGTTTGACACTCTGCTATAGACACTTGGTGTCTCCTAGTGTCCTAACTGAACCATACACACCCATCAAAATTGTGCTACAACAAAACTCTCCTCAATGAAGCTAATATTATATTATATTATCATTGTAAATACAGTAGTTCATAATAAGTTCAGTCTTTTATCTTATCTGCTTCATTTCATTCTAACAGGTGTAATTCTTTGACCATTGTTTGATTTTAAGTAAACATTACTTTTATACATTGCATACAAGTGGAAGAATGTTGATGGAATGTCCCAAGAGTTTCTGAAATTGACTCATAAGTTCTAAGTTGATGCATTTAAGCTCTCTGAGACACAAACGCTGTCACCACAGATCAAAGTTTGTGAGTTTTGCAGCGCCTCTCCAGGACCTGTAGGGACGCCTGTCTGCTCTCCATGGCACCGTACAAGGCGGTGTCATCGCCATAGCAGCCAGTATGCACCAAAACAAAGTAAATGCCCACATTTCATGAAATTATTGACCTACAGCGACTGATAACGTTGCTCAATGACCAGAATGAGTCAGAAGGGATTTTCTAGTGTTTTTTTTTTAACTTTGGATTTGTTGGACAACATAACAAGTGACTGTGTCGATGAGTCAGTATTTCATCAAAACATGGACTCCTTAATCATCTTTGTCAAATGGCACTTACTTTTAAGTGCCTGGGTATCTTTATTGATGATTCATTGAATTTTTAAAACCCATAAACTGTATACTTCCTTGTTTAAAGATTGCGCCTCAAACTGGGCTTTTACCTCAGAAATAAATCGTCCTTTTCTTTATTGCGTGGGTGCAGTGTTAGCGCATGTGGCTCACAGCAAGATGGTCCTGGGTTCGATTCCACCTCCTCGCCTTTCTGCGTGGAGTTTGTATGTTATCCCCGTTCCTTTCTAGGTTTCCTCCTGGTGCTCCTGTTTTCCTCCGGGTGCACTGGGTGCACCGGTTTCCCCTATCACTAAAAACATGTACAATAGCAGGTCTGTGAATGGAAGTTACTGGCACACAAACAAAAATTGTAAGGAGCTTTGTGTGACCTTGGTCTGTGAAATGTGCTGTATGAGTAAAGATCAATTTTTTAAAAATGTTTTTATTTCACTGCTTCTATGAGATGTTTTATATGAATGATTTTGAGGGTTTTATTGTGAACGACATTCTTGCAAAACAGTCTTTGAATCTCAATGGGATTTTTGTGGTTAAATTAAGGTCAAACAATGTTGGTAAAATGAATACACACATGTATTTTTGTCCATTAGACTAAACTGAGCCAAATGTGTGTGTTGTAGGTGCAGCACCGTGTGTCCGGACAGATCATGGCCCTGAAGATGAACACTCTGGTCTGCAACAAGGCAAACATGCTCAAAGAGGTGCAGCTGCTGAACCGTCTGTGCCACCCCAACATCCTCAGGTAACCGCTGCACGCACCCCTGTGTTTTGGATTTACATAATTCTTTGGAAAGGACTAAAGAAATGTCGTCATGGGCAAACGACAATGCCACAAATTAAATCTTAGCTGCTTTAGTATGTGTTAGTTTAGTGTACTTTCGCACTTGTATGCAGTGTATGTGACTTTTTGAATCTAACTTTGCGACAAAAAGTTAAAGTGAAGGTCTGTTACTTTTCAAATTGTGACGATGGACAAAATGAGTTCAAATCCAGGATAGACGGCTGAGGCCCCTCCCCATTGGTCTATCTCTGTGTTCCGCAACCTTCTTGAGCTGTTGCACTTTTTTCCCTTGTAAACAATCGCATGTCACTCCTATGGTCTCTCCACCAGCTGAAACTGAAACATGAAACTCTGCAGTCTTTATCAACGATACAAAGTCCATCCATCCATTTTCTTCCCCTTAATCCATTTCTGGGTCGGGGAGGTGGTGGTAGTCAGCTGCACAGTCATTCTCATCAAAGTGTATTACATAGAAAATCAAACAAGCGCAAAAGTGTTTCTTTCTGTTCACAATAATTTGAGGGTGGGTGATAATATATATTAAGGGAATTACTTGAATTCGTTTCTACAATTATAGTTTTTTTTTTTTTTTTTTACTATGGGGATATTGTGACCTGAATAATCATGATTATTGATTCTGTGCAGGTTTATTGGCGTTTGCGTCCACCAGGGCCAGCTCCACGCTCTCACTGAGGTTTGCTTTTTTGGCTTTTTACATAATACATGCATGTATGTCATCACTTCACAATTACCTGCATACATGTAGTAAGAGCTGTGTGCGCCACTGAGCCCTGATTGGCTGCTGAAGGATGGGTTTTAATAGATGCACCAAAATCTTAATGTCATATACCGTTTTACTTTTACTCACAGTAGTTCAGTCATTACTTACAAGATCAACATCTAATTTAAAACATTTGTGATAAGTTAGCTGTGATTTGAAAGGAGCAAAATGTTTGGCAGATATTGTTGCTAATTCTCAGTCATTGCTTCCTGCAATAAACCTTCCTATTTGATCTAAAATAGGAAGGTTTATATTTACAATGTTGTTGTTGGCTTATCTTTCTAATCTTTATCTTAACATTTACTCTTTGCTCAACATCACAAAGGTCAGTCATTAATTAGAGGATATTTATTGTTGCCAGCGTTGAGGTATTCAGTAGAAAACTTACAAAAACCACTTGAGAGGCTTGTTTTGGACTGTATGTGGAATATGCATGCACCATTGAGCACCAACTTTGAAATCGTCAATGTTCACGGTTTGTTTTGCTGTTCGCGCAGTACATTAACGGGGGGAACTTGGAGCAGCTGTTGGCCAGTGACGTGTATCTGTCGTGGAGCATGCGCCTCAGTCTGGCCCTGGACATCGCACGAGGACTGGAGTATTTACACAGCAAAGGCATCTTCCACCGGGACCTGACCTCCAAGGTGACCACACACAACATGAAAAGTCTTACAGAATATTTGTTCATTACTTTTTTTTAACGTTTTTTTGCAGCGCAATTTTCATGTGTACTCTAAATATATACAACATTATATTTTTTCCGCTAGTATTTGAGTCAGAAGAAAACCTTTGTGGCATTGTGGTGATGAGTTGAGAGTACTACCGCGGCCATCCTTTAGCCCTCAGTCTCTCTGGTCTCTCTTTCTGGTCTCTCTCTGGCCTCTCTCTACAGTCTACAGTCTTCAAGCCATACAGCGGCTGCTAATTTGTTTATTGCGGGTTATTAGAACGTAATAAGGACCACTGTCTTGTTATATGTGAGTAATTAACCTTGTCTATCCATAGTTTTATGATCCAAACGCATAATTTATACTGTGAACCTGCCATGTATTTTTGGAATGAGTGGTGACTTTTGGCTGTTTCCACAGAACTGCCTGGTGCGCTGGGAGGGCAGCGTGTGCACGGGGGTGGTGGGAGACTTTGGCCTGGCAGAGAAAATTCCAGATTACAGGTCAGTGGTCTCCTCATCAAACACTCCATCAACGCTCTGTGATTAGGTGAAGTCATCCCTGTGCTACAGCTTTTACTTCCCCTTTTTGTCCAATCATTTAGAAACCTGCTGACAGGACTCTGGAGAAAGAAAGAGAGCGAGCAGCTTTTTCCAAACTATGCAGCGAATACTTTAGATGTTGTGATTCCCTCCTCTGCCCCGTTAGTGGAACTATTCATGTGAAACTTGATTTTGAGGGCAGGGGAAGAAGACACAGCACGACACGGTGTCAATATTTAATGCTAGCTGCCATGACGTACTCTGCTCAGGTGCCGCTGTTGCTTCCTGTGTGCTGAGACTTCATTATGGGAAATTACATTCATTCACTAACAATAGATGACAGAGGAGATGGATGTGTAAAGTTTAATTGGCTTGTTATTCTAGTTGCAACATGCACTTCTATATTTATATATTTTTTGGATCCTCTTCAGGTATTGGTTTGGACTAAAAGGGTGACACTTTTAGACATGTTTATAGAGCAAGTTAACCAAACACTGAATAATTTAACCAGGTACGTCTCATTCAGAATGACTCCTGGCCTGTGAACCGCACCAAGAATGACCTTAGACCAGGGAGTGTCAAAACTTTTTAGTACAAGGGCCACTTTTTTACCCCGGAAATATCCCCTGGGCAGACAATGCAGGTTGTAAAAGACTGAACTGAAGTTGGCTGAATGACAAATGTTTACCCTCTCCCCACTTACATTAGCGCCTTGGATGGAGGTTTGCCTCTGGGTTTGAGCTTTACAACAAAGTAGATAGATACTTTATTGATCCCTGTAGGAGAAATGTAAGTGTCCAGTAGCAGCAAAAACACATCCATACACACCAACAAAAGAAATAAATTGATCATTCTAAAAAGCTAACAATAGTAATAATAATTAAATGCAACAGCACTTCAGGTCACAGCAGTAGAGGTGGTACATTAATACCTATATTTCAAGGAGCTGAAGTTGGCTGGATGACACTGTTATGTTTATGTCACTGTTGTGTTTATGATATTAATGGTACTTGGGGTTAGCTAGGCAGAGGACCACGTGACATGACACAGGGGGCCGCAATTGGCCCGCGGGCCTGAGTTTGGACGTGCCTGCCTTAGACTGTGTAGATGGACAATGCTAACCTGCTAGCTTTATGAAGGCCAATAGGAAAGTGATCTTGGACTAAGTTTTGCTCTTACTTACAGTAACTTACATTAGTTTAGTTAACTGGGCGACAGTGGCTCAAGTGGTAGAGCATTGGCCTTTGAGCCTGAAGGTTGTGGGTTCAATATTTATAAAGCACCATTCATACAGAAGCAACCCAGGGTGCTTAACAGGCACGGAAAGAACATTGGCAAACAATAAAACATTATAGGAATAAAAACCATAAAAAATCAGGGACATTTTAATAACATTTATGGACATTGGTGATCCGCCCCCTATGGACCAATGCCTTCTGCAGAGTTTTTTTAATTATTGCATTTCCTGTTGGTGAATCGACAACTTAGTTAAATCCTCTTAGGCGACTGCTGGTGTGATTAACTGTAGGGGTATTAAAAAGTATTGAATTGAACACCCAATACACAAGGAGATGCATAATATTTTTAATGCAGATATTAACCGGATGGAACAAATTACAATCTGAAGGTACATTTACGGCAGGATATTTACAGTGCTCTAAATAGTTTCAAGAGTTGTAAAGTAATAAAACTATGCCCAAAGCCTACAGTAAAGCACAAGGGACTCGCAGATCTCAGTGTGGCCTTTTACAGTCCTGTCATAAATACTCACCCTTTCAAAGAACTGTTTTATAATCCCCTGTGGTGATGAGTTTAAATTCGCGTCTTGGAGAAAGTAAAAAACGCAGCGAGTCACTGTTCCCCCCACGTCGCTCCCAGAGACGGAGGATTTTAATTTCACACAGACTGCATCACAAACACATCTGCTGTCCACGAACACATAACCGTATTATCCATGGGTCATTGTGTCTGACTGAGCCTGGGGACCTGTTATTCACACTGGGACAGAGCTGGGTCACCTCTGCCTCTACAGGCCTGCTTTATCAGGGTGGGATTCTAGGTAGATTTATAGAACAGTGGTCATAGTTTAATTTTTGGTCTTAAGGGAGTCTGAAGTCTGAGTTTTTAAACACAGTTTTTGAGTTGTTCTTGAGGTAAGGCCAGTGTTTTAGAAAAGCAAATAATCAATGAATCTCAGTGGTTAGTTGTCTAGTTTATTATTATATTTAAAGTGACAGGGACAGCGTACAATAAACAGTCATTTCAAAGAGAAAGATACATTGTACTAAGTTGCAGCAGCTCGAGTCCTGACTAGAACCAGGAAGTACGACCACATTAGTCCAGTCCTCAGGTCTCTGCACTGGCTTCCTGTGGCTCAGAGAATAGACTTTAAAACAGCTCTGCTTGTGTACAAGTCTCTCAATGGCCTCGCACCAAAATATACTATTGACATGTTAGTACCATATGAACCAGCCCGGACTCTGAGAAGCACAGGGACTGGACTCCTGTTAGTGCCCAGAGTCAGAACTAAACATGGGGAGGCATCTTTTCAGATTCATGCTGCTAAAATCTGGAACAGTCTTCCTGAAGATGTGAGACAGACCTCCTCTCTGACAATGTTTAAAACCAGGTTAAAAACAGTTCTGTTTAGCTGTGCATACAACTGAGGGAAAGATAAGTTGTGCGAGTTTAACCGGGTGCTACGTAGTACGAGAGAAAGGTATTTTTCTGAAATGATTGAAGGCTGCAGCAACAATCTGCGTGTTCTGTTCTCAACAGTTAATAGATTAACAAACCCCCCTGTTCAAATGCCATTAGAGCTTACTTCCAAACGTAAATGCAATGGGTTTGCTAATTTTTTCAATGACAAGGTTCAAGGCATCAAAAGCGCCATTGTCTCCAATCCACAGATAACAATCCAACAGCCAGAAAGGCTCTCTGAGCTAACTCACTTTGCACCTGTAAATGATAAAACTGTCCAAGAGATAATCTCCAGTTTGAGCTCCTCCACATGCAGCTTGGATGTACTACCCACTAGATTTCTGAAGTCTGTTCTGAGCAGTCTGTTACCTTCACTCACACAGATAGTAAACATGTCCCTTCATTCTGGAATATTCCCAAAGGCCCTGAAAACTGCAGTCATCAGGCCCCTGCTAAAAAAGAGCAGTCTCGATGCTACGGTACTTAACAACTATCGTCCCATCTCAAATCTGCCATTTATGGGGAAAGTCCTTGAGAAAGTTGTCTACCTACAGCTTACTAGGTTTCTTCTAATCAACAACTCATTTGATATGTTTCAGTCTGGCTTTAGACCCCACCACAGCACTGAGACTGCTCTCGTTAAGGTTACAAACGATATCCGGCTGAACACTGACGCAGGCAAAGTCTCAATCTTAATCTTGTTAGATCTAAGTGCTGCCTTTGACACCGTCGACCATGAGATCCTCTTACAGAGACTAGAGGACTGGGTTGGCGTCACTGGCACCGCCCTAAGTTGGTTTAGGTCTTACCTTGAAGACAGGAAGTACTTTGTGGAGATTGGAAACTGTGTCTCAGATCATATGGCCCTGACCTGTGGAGTCCCACAGGGGTCGATCCTGGGACCTCTTCTGTTCAATCTCTACATGCTGCCGTTAGGTCAGTTAATACGCAGAAACAAAGTGTCCTATCACAACTACGCAGACGACACTCAGATCTATGTCTCACTGACTGCAGGAGAACATGGACCAGTGGACTCACTCCTTCACTGTATCCAACAGATCAGTGAGTGGATGCAAAACAACTTCCTTCAGCTAAACGCAGACAAAACTGAAATGATTGTCTTTGGTCCCCAGAAACAAAGAGAGCGTCATCTTTCATCTACAGTCTCTCTCCCTAAAACCTTCAAACAAGGTCAGAAATCTAGGGGTAATACTGGACTCAGACTTAAATTTCAATAGCCACATCAAATCAGTAACATCAGCAGCTTTTTACCATCTAAAAAACATTGCCAGGATCAAAAACATAGTGTCTAAAGCAGACTTGGAGATTCTTATCCATGCATTTGTCTCCAGTAGGTTAGACTACTGCAATGGCCTGCTCACACGTCTGTCCAAACAGGCTGTAAAACAGCTGCAGTACATTCAAAATGCAGCAGCTCGAGTCCTGACTAGAACCAGGAAGTACGACCACATTAGTCCAGTCCTCAGGTCTCTGCACTGGCTTCCTGTGGCTCAGAGAATAGACTTTAAAACAGTTCTGCTTGTGTACAAGTCTCTCCATAGCCTCGCACCAAAATATATTAGTGACATGTTAGTCCCATATGAACCAGCCCGGACTCTGAGGAGCACAGGGACTGGACTCCTGTTAGTGCCCAGAGTCAGAACTAAACATGGGGAGGCTGCTTTTCAGATTCATGCTGCTAAAATCTGGAACAGTCTTCCTGAAGATGTGAGACAGGCCTCCTCTCTGACAATGTTTAAAACCAGGTTAAAGACAGTTCTGTTTAACTGTGCATACAACTGAGGGATTTTATATTTTTATCTTTCGTTTTAATGTTCTGTGATAATTTATGATTTTAATGCTTTCTTGTTTTGTTCAGCACTTTGAATTGCCTTGTGTATGAATTGTGCTATATAAATAAACTTGCCTTGCCTAAGTTATAGCTCAAAAGCTAATTTACACCCCTAGTCCCAGGTCAGGTTTCACGGCTAGAAGGTCCAGGGTACGATTCTACCTCTATTCCTGTCTGTGTGGAATGTGCATGTTCTCCTTGTGCATGCGTTGGTTTCCTGATGGTGCTTCGGTTTACCCTACCACTACAGAAATTTTACAATAGGTGTGAATGTAATGCGTGAGTGAATGGATGGTGATGGGTTCTGTGTATGTGACCATGGTCTGTGAAAGATTACTTCCTTATTTATTTCTACACAATCTGTCTTACTGTGTCTAATGTCTGCAAGATGGCATGTCTGATTCCTGTGGCCTCCTCCCGTTTACTTTGCACATAGTTGCTACAGTTATCAGACAAGCCTCTGTTTGCTCCGGTCGCTGCTGCTGCAATGATAGTGTATGAAATGCATTAGTCTAACTCAAAGTTATGTGTTAGTTCTTGCCCCAGTCAAACAGTTATATCCTGTCAGAACTGTAATGTTGACAGGACTTCTGTGAGTGGGTTGAGTGCTATCACAATGCTAGTGTGTATGTGTGTGTGTGTAACTAGAGTTTTGTGCGTGTGCGCGTATAACTAGAGGGTTCGGGAAAGCTCACCAAATAAGGACAAAGTATTTCAGTGTTCTTCTTTAGCTCTGGCACTTACTGTATTCAGTCACTCATTTTGGGTTTGTCTTTTAGATGCAGTTTTAATACCATTTCCAAATCCTTGTTGACAATGGCAGCTCATTCCTCTCAGTCCTGTTAGTTGTATTTTTGCATCATAGATGCCACAGAACAGATGGAAATGGCAACTCAGGAAGTAGCTGCCAGCGGGAAGTATGTGTGTGTGTGTGCGTGGTTCCTTTTTTTAATCCAGTGCAAATTGTGCAACAGTATCCGTTTATAACTGAAAAAGCCACATGGTTCATTCAAAACAGGAAGTGTAGCCAAAACAATGACACAATGACAGCTGGGGGACAGCTGCATGTTTGCCATACAATTGGAACTAATACATCTCAGGCCTTCTCATTTATTGATATAGAATTATGGGTGGGAGATATTGTATTGAAATGTATGTATTTTTCTTGTAGAGTATCTCGTGGGTTAGAGGAAAGAATTTGGATATCAGCTGTTGTTTTTGTGAATAGTGGAGAGAGCCGACAGGGACTTTTTAATGTGATTAGAACTGTTGTCAGAGCAGTTTATGGACTTATCAGTTTGACTCATCAGAGTTTAGTAACGACAGGAAGCACGTTATTGTCAAAATAACGTGGTACTGTTTTTCTCCAGTCCTCATCGTGTTATTGACAAAGCTTTGATCATCACAAAGTCAACAGTGCATTAAACACCTCATCATTAAATCATGTTGTGTCCAGCTTGAACAGTAGTCTATTGGCTTTGCTTTCTGTGTGACATCACAACAGTAACATTCAGCTGGGGCGCTTCATACAGATGCGCTTAATAGTTCAACAATTACTGCACCTGCTTGTAGCATGGATCTCATTGTCTTGGTTGAGGTTGAAGATTTGCATTAAACCACAGAAGGACAGCAATTATAACTGTTATAAAGATTACACCTGAAAATCCTATATTTCAACCGGTGTAATTTGATTTTACCATGAATGTTCCAGACATTATTGATCTTTTGCATATCTTTAAAACGATTACCTACTTTGTGATCTCTAGTTTTGCCTAATGTTCTATAATCAAATATAAAAAACCTGACGTCTTATGTACTGCACTTAATTGCACTGCAGGTCAAGGCCTTCAGAGGTAAAGTCAGATTTAGATTCGGTTTATTTGCCATTTGCTGTAAAATCACATTGGAATTCATCCCCCAGTGTGCACCAGATATTATTAAAACAAACTAAAAAGTACAAGAAACAATTGTCGCTGAGACCAATCAACAAAAGCAGTTAGAATAACAAGTGCAAGATCCTTAAAGTGCTTTGTCCAGACTGATGACCGCTTGTGTAAAGAAGCTGTTAGCATCTCAGCGATCGATAAGCGACTCCTTTCTGCTATTAACCCTTTAAATAATCGCTGATCTTTCAAAGTTGTCTCTCGCTGTGAGCTGTTAATATCTTATCTTTTTATTTATGGAGTTTTATTTCCATTAAGGTCACGCTTGTGTCTTGGGCCAGGATCCCCTAAAAGAGATTCTGAAATCTGACACTGCTGGTTAAATAACGGTCAATAAATTAAATGTTACTTGTGTGTTAAGCATTTCTTGGGGTTTAATTGCAATGGTAAGAATAAATAAGCAAGAAAGTCCTGGGTTCCACTTCCTGGCCTCTCTGTGGGGAGTTTGCATGTTCTCCCCGTGTCTGCAGAGGTTTCCTCAAGTCACTCCGGTTTCCCCTACTACTAAAAGATAAGATATTCCTTTATTCGTCTCACATTGGAGAAATTTCAGTGTCATCGTTGGGCATGTTACTGCAGATAAAGAAGGAAATAAGAGCACAAATAGTCTATTATTTAAGATAGTAGACAATGTTATTAAAATATGATAAAGAATCATATAAAATATAATAAACTCTGGAGCTATAATTGCACTTGTGCAATAGCTCTGGCATGTGTCGGTGACCCCGCTCCAATCTCTGTGTGGAGCGAGTGGACAAATGCCCACAACAATTATAAAGAGCTTTGTGACTCTGGTCTGTAAAGGCGCCATATAAATAAAGATGACTTACTTGCTGATTCTTTTCCCCACAGCGATGAGCTTGCACAGGAGCCCTTGGCGGTGGTGGGTTCCCCCTATTGGATGGCCCCAGAAGTGCTCCGAGGAGAGGTCTATAATGAGAAGGTAATGATGGATCTATTCCGGAGTCCAATGTCCAGCTTGAGTGGGACAAAGATATATTTTGGTTGTGATTAGTTTGCCATTTCCTTATTTATCTCTAAATGTTTGTGTGTGTGAATGTTAGCAAACATTACACAGCTAAAGTACAATCAAATAAAAAGCCTACATGGAGGACTATGATAATTGAGTTGAGAACAATGGGCCTCTTGATTGTCAGCTCTGTCATGTTGAGCCTTGATACAGTCACTGTAGCGTTGGCCTGGTTTCCTGTCTGCAGGTGGACGTGTTTGCTTACGGCATTATCCTTTGTGAGATCATCGCGAGGATACAGGCCGACCCTGACTTTCTGCCACGCAAAGAGGTACGAGCTGCTGAACAATAAAGCCTTCTGTCAGCGCCGCTCTATCAGCTGGTGTTGAGTTTTACCTTGTTTTTCCAACTTTGTTCAATCCGTTGGACCTCTTCTGATTAAATAAGGGTGTGGTATAATAAAGAAAATGTATTTAGCTCTTAATCTTTGGCTGAATAAAGTGCTGCTTCGTTTAGCTGGCAATTGTAACTATAATGCATTAATCTATAGCAGAAAATTCAGACTGGAAAACAGGAAGAACTAAGGCCCCCCGTCCCAATACAGGGATCAAGAGTTCCGAGCTTCCAGCTCGACCGCACAGCATTGTGGGCAGTTTTCTCCAAAAAGTGGGCATCAAATCACGCTCTATTAGATTACCTGTTGCGAGCGTGATCTGTCTCTTTTTTCCAGCCCATCGATTGTTTTAATCGCTACAAAAATCACCAATTTCAGACATTTAGAAGGTAAGGTAAAGATTTTTTCATATAACAAAAAAGCAATGCATTTTTTTTCTTATGGTTTTAAATGTAAACACAACCGACTGACTACAGAGCTACGCGCAGCTTATGCTACTTACGAGGATCGAATGCTTACACGCAAGCTTTAAAAACTTACCCAAAGCTGTACTTTGGACATAGAGCCCTCAGAGCGTTTCATGAACTTATAAATAACATTTATGATTAGAGCATTCAGAGTGGGGACATTATTAAGAACAAACAGTGAGCTGGCAGTATAGAGAAGTGTGCAGTATAGAGAGGTTTACACAGGGGGCTTTAAACAAAGTTATTTTCACTTTATCTGTACACATGTGAAATCTCCGTGCTTAAGTGTTAGCCTGTCCATACAGCTTACAGTACTGCCTCTGAATGTCATCGTCATCACTGAGGTCACTCCTGATCCAGGTATTTGGTCTTCTCTACATTCAGAAGCTGGGAAAGTTTTTAAAGCTTGCGTGTAAGCATTCAATCCTCGTAAGTAGCATAAGCTGCGTGTAGCTCAATAGTCAGTTGGTTGTGTTTACATCTAAAACCACAAGAACAAAACTGCATTGCTTTTTTGATACATGAAAAAATCTTTACCTTCTTAGTGTCTGAAATTGGTGATTTTTGTAGCGATTAAAACAATCGATGGGCTGGAAACCAGAGACAGATCACGCTCGCAACAGGTAATCTAATAGAGCGTGATTTGATGCCCACTTTTTTGAGAACTACCCACAATGCCGTGCGGTCGAGCCGGAAGCTCGGAATTTTTGATCCCTGTGTTCTTAGAGACCTCAAGGTGTGAGTGCCCTCACCAGAGAAGTGCCTTCCCATAGAGGAGTGCACTCATAGGATATTCTCCCTAAAAAATGGGACAACCTTGGATCTAGGGGACAATATGCAAATGACGCAGCAAACGTTTTCCACGTCACACACATTATCAATGGGTCTGATTTCACCACAGATAAGATCTGACAGATATGACTTTGTGAAACAAAGTATTAAAATGAGACGTTTTTAATTCCATTTCATATGAAGATTTGCTATAATTAGGTACAGAACTGCTGCGCATCATACACACATGTACACACAGAGGCAGACACACACACGGACACAGACAGACGAATGTACACACACAGAGACAAACATAGACGTACCACACAAAGACACATGTAAATACCAGTGGGGGGCGGGTCCCGGCTCAAAAGTGGCCAAAATGACGTGCGTTGACATGCTTGCAATACCACCCCGGGCCAATGAGGGTGGACCCAGAATAAGAATTAGCCAATGCTAACATATAGCATCTTACCTCTCAAACGTCTTTACAGTATGGTCCAAAAGTTGGCTTTTGGCTCAAAGCTCCGTTCCACATGTGTGTCAATGCTGAGGGGAGTGATTATTTTTTTTTTGGATCAGTCTAGTTTACTCGAATTTTTGAAGGCACTCGTTGAAATGAATGGAGCTCGTGCCGGCTGACGCATGCGCAGATGCATTTTTTCACATTTTCCATCCCCCGCGGCCATTTTGAATCACTCCATGAAAGCCCAATTTTTGGCCCATTAGTTAGAACGGTGGAGACAGGCGTGACTGTCTGTTAATATATACAGTCTATGGTACATACACGTAATCGCACAGAGACGTACCACACAGAGACAGACTGGTACAGCCGCAGTCCCGCGGCTCACAAAGCAAACGGTCAAAATGATGCTCTGAACTACATCATGGATCTATAATATCATGGATCCACGTCTCTGAAGCCTCAGTGAACGCCACACGCTGCAGCCGCTTCGGGAGCGAACGTCACCACACACGGCACAAACACACGCATTAAAAACTCTGAATGACTTGCACATGCTTCGCAGCTTCCTTCCGTTCGCCACAAACTTACGCCCAGGTGTTTTATGTTGTTTTCTTTCATTGTGGCGCGGCTTTGCCTGACCGCTACTTTACAAACAACTATTGTAATGCATCATGGGATCACCCTCACTCACAAGTGAGCTCCAGACCTCACTTGCACTCAAGGGTGATTTTTAAGGGTTTGAGGCCCTCGCCTCTTCTCCCTAAGTATTGGGACACCCTACAACCCCTGCGGGCACGCGTAAAATCTAGGGTAAGGGTGCTTTTAAAGGGCAAGGGTGAGAATTGGGACCGGGCCTAAGCTCACAGCGCTCAAAGCCCTCCCACTGCTGCTAAAGGCAACTGCACCAGTCATTCACACTCGGCTGCAGCGCCACACTGCCCTCACCTGGCAGCAATCAGGCACTACCTCACATCAAGCTTCATGACTCAATGAAGCTCCATCCAAGCAGCAGCTTCGTTCACGCCACAACCCTCCTCCTCCCCATCCCCACCTCGTTCCAGCTATTTAATACTTGTCCAAGCTGCCACCACCAGGGTCTAGGCCCCGGGGGGGGGGGGGATTTCATCTAGTCACTTCCCCCTTCTGTAATCGTGCAGTGCTCTGCCGGGGTCTAATCACCAAATCCTAACCACATTCTATACAGCACAATAAATGTAATCTTGAAAATATTGTCAGAGTCATGCGTGCGATTTATGTAGTCAGATTACTTGCCAACCAAACGATTCTAATAATATAATATTTGTCTGTTCGAGTCTCTCCAGATGGAACTAAACTTTTACTTTTGCAGATAAAATGTTGTGCTGTTTCTTACAGGACTTTGGTCTGGACGTGGACACCTTTCAGCACATGGTTGGAGACTGTCCTCATGACTTCCTGGATCTGGCCATTACCTGCTGTAATGTAAGTATCTAAATGTATGACAGACCACAGCTGCTCTTTCAGTCTGTTATTCTTTTATTAGATAATCGAGGGTCTCCTTCTTTTTTTTCTTCCCAGATGAGCTCAAAGCTGCGTCCATCGTTTTCACAAATAGTGCTGGAGTTGGAGCAGAAACGAGAAGAAGGAAGGCTGAAGGAACAGACTCCAGTTAAAGGTACAGGATCACATTTCAGGGACTACAGGTGCAAATTAGCACTGCTGCTACAACCTGGTACCTGGGGGGTGTAATTAACATCCAAAGCAATGAGTAAAAAAATAAAAGATAAAGAAGTAGTAATGGAAATATGTATGTATTTTCATATATATGCATGTGTGGATAGGTATGTCTAAAAACGAAAATGCCACCGCTGGTCTCGGTGCTAGTGTGCACATATCGTTTTTATTTATTTAAAAACATTGAACGTTTTCAGATTATCCTCCCATTATAATCCTGGACACACAGCAGGTCCTTATAACAGTCTGCTTGGCCCAAAATTAGATCCTGTTTTTGTTCTTCCAATATACAGAACGTGTGGATTTAGCCGTTGATGCAATAGTAAAGATCACACAGAAATGTATGGATTGGACTCACATGGTCGATACATCTTACAGGGAAGTCTTTGAGAAGTCGAGACCTACGGTAATGCAACGGCCTTAATGAAAGAAATTTGAAAAAACATTTTTGAGAGATGAGGTTAGCTACAGGTTTGAGACCAGAACAGTTTCTTTTATAAACACTGAATAATCTTAATCGCTTACAGTCTGTGACAATAACAGCTGTTTCCTAATTTCCTCTGTGTGATCTTTTTTTCTTTGATGCTTCCTCATTGAGAATGTTAGAGAGAGGATCTTGTTTCGACACTGCAGAGGGTGTTTTTCAACCATTGGGCCATGTCCCGTTAGTGGGCCTTTCGGAAATGATCCAATATCACCTGATTGGTCAAAATAATATGAAACAAAAATACTGTGAGATTATACTTTTTTGTGCTTGTTTTATTATATCATACACTTTGTAGCATTTACGAACAATGCAAAGTCATTCTCATCAGAGTTTCATTCTTATATCGGTTTGAGCTGGTGGTTGGCCGTGTGATGGTTTGGGGAAGACTGGAATAGGCTGCTCACCTAAAGACCCATCTCTGTTCATCTTGTCATCTTTGTAAATATGAATTATTATCTCATGTTTTCAGATGCCTCTCCTACAGTTGACTCTTTACGTCGCCGCTCTCTCCGTCTCGCGTCTGACCCTCGACTGTCCCGCAGCAAGTCGGACGTGCTTCACCCCCCAGACTCTCCCCCCTGCGTCATCCTCACCCCTCCCACTCGCGTGAACCCCTTCTCTCAGAGGGAGGACTTGAAAGGAGGCAAGATCAAGCTTTTTGATACGCCCAGTAAGTCTGTTATCTCCTTGACTTTCACACTGCCCCCTCCGCCGGACCCCTGTGACGGGGCAGCTGTAGCCGAGGAGTTCGAGCCGAGGAGGCACAGGCGCTGCCATTCCCTACCCTGTACCCCGCCCCACCACAGCTCTGCCCCCAGAACGCTGCTGAGTGAGGGAGAGGACGCTGAGAGTGAGGAGCAGAGGCTTATGGGGCAAAGTGTGGACTACAGCAGGACTGTGGCCGGGGACTCTGGACTGGCTCTCTCTGTGGAGCCTCTGTCTCTGGACAAAGAGTTGGAGCCCATGGACTGCTCTAACTCTCCAGACACACAGGGCAGCTCCTCCCTGTATTCTAAGATGACCCTGCCCCCCTCTCACTCCTCTACCCCTCTGACCAACAGTTGGGGGTCTGCCATCTCCAATGGGCCCCCATGTCTGCCCCCCCTCTCTAACCTGGATAATAACAATGTGGTGACTGGATGTCCTGTGGGTTGGACATCTCCAGATCCATCTTGTACTTTGGACAATAATAACGGGTATCATTCCACGCCTAGTGACCCAGGAGCCATGTCCCCGTTTGGCTCGGGCAGTGGACACTCTCTGGACCAGGAGGAGGTCATCTCCTGCCCCGGCTGCTGTCTGCCAGCTCTGCACTTCCCCTCCATGTGCCTCCGCGCTCCGCAGAGGAGGAACGCCTACAAGAACCTCAATGGGGACACAGCCTCACGTGGGCTGCTGGGTCCGGCACCAAAAGGCCTACCTCCCTCTCCCAGCCCCACTGTGAACACCTCCAGCCTGGAGCCTGGACTCTCGCTGCCCGGGGCACAGAACTAGGCTGTGAGAGTCCAGGGGGCATAGACCAAGGTTGGCCTGTGAAAAGTCACTCAAAGCTAGCTTGACCAGAAGAACCCAATTCCTTTAGTACAAGGGGTACCAGAGAGATCTTAATTTAAAATTAGTTTTATCAATTGCTGAGGGCTTTAAGTTGTAAATCATTAAGTTGAATTGATTTGTCTCGTACTTTATTGAAAAAAATATTTAACAAAATATAAATTTATTATTAAGAAACTGGAAAAAATATTTTAAATGAATGGAAAACTGTTATGATCGAGACGAGATGTTTTTGTGACTGGTCAAGCTAGCTCTAAACACCAAAATATTGAATGCGTATATCCCAGGTTTTTATCTTCCTTGAAAACCAGTTGTCTCTTTAAATTTGCACAGTTTTAACTCAGCAATAGGCCGTGTGTGGTGCATTGGCCGCTCCTATGAAAGATGGATCAATGCGCTTCATTTTACATCCTCCCTCTGGTTTGGAGGAGTGTGTTTGGCGACCTCTGCTGGGCTGACGGCGCTACTGTCTGAACGTCATGTAAACTGCATTTGCAGAATGAAATATTTCTTTGACTGAAACTGCTGATGAACCAAGGAATGTTGAGCTTAGTATTACTGTTGCAATGAGTCTGTTTAGTGCACTTCCAATGTATTGTTGTTAAAGAAGCGTTTATTATTACTTTTGGAATGATCCAAGACTTGCTTATGAGATGTATAGTTTATTATTTCATGATTGTATTAAATAAAAAATATGGAATGCATTAAAGGCTCTGACTTTATTATAATCGCATAACTGGGAAAAGCCTTTCTCACATTGAATCCATGTTTTTGCAATACATACAAATATAATGATCAAATAAGTGAATTAAGTTTGGTTTTTATGTTCATATTTTAACCAAAACGAAGATATTCGGCTGGATGTTTTTACGTTCTATCGGCAAAAAAATATATGATAATGACAATATTTGACTTCGAAACCATTGACAGATGGAGTCGACTAAAGATTGAAGCCCTACTACTGTGGCTCATATACAGTCATTTCAAAAACAAGCAGTGTACGCTCAGATGTCCAATATTATTTATCTGATGTTTCAGCCATTATAACCTTCAGCAAATAGTTTTCTCTTTGAACCACTATGTACTGAGAAAAAAATCCAATATAGTATGGTCCAAAGTTAAAAGAATGATCCACTGAAGGCTAGAGTGGTCATTAAATAATATGTGCAATGCCCACTCCCCTCGCATTCACAGCACACAGAGCTTTTTAGAGCACGATGCATAATTTTTTTGAGTTGTAAACAATAAACCCATAAAGTGTTTTAAATGTTCTCAACTTCCATCAATTTAGTTGCACCATGAACTCACCAAAACCATAGCATCAAATGTATTTAATGAGAAAATGATATAAAGGACCATTTTTAACTGACGCTGATCCTAAAGTATTAAATCTTAATCAGTATATTAGCCTGTTCCCTAATCTCAAACCAAACAATGCCTCATCTTGTATCTTCATTCTAATGTTCTCATCCCCTTAAGGAGATTATCATCGTTCCTCTCTCTTACAAAATCTCTGGCTTCCAATTAAATCTTTCTCCACCCCTTCCACCTCCTGCTGTCTCTCCTCTCTTCCCCCTCCTCCTCAGTGGTCCACCTGCCTGTTTCTTACTGACTTTTTCTCAGACCGTCAGGCTTTAATGTAGACGTGGAGCAGGTGATGGACACGCAGCTTTGGCCATGGCTCCTCCTGCTCCTGTCCGTCAAAGGTGAGTTAACATGGACTTTATTCAACACTAACCTTGTCTACCTGAGCACTGGGCGCCCAGTGAGGAGCAGAGTTGTGACAGTTGGACTTAGCAGATCAGTGTGTGTGTGTGTGTGTGTGTCAGGGTCGGCTGGGATTGCATGCTACACCACCCTGGAGTCGGTGGACTTAGGCTGCCTCCTGCGGTGGGATTGTCCTCATGCCAGCCCTAATGCTACCTTCACCGTCCAGGCAAAGACGCAGGGGTGAGTGTCCGTCTGCACGCACATCCCAGCCCAGAATAACCTCAGACGTGAAGTTATTAATATCCATCAAATACGTACTTTTATTCTCAATCTCAAACAAGATCAATCTCCTCTCAGCTTTAGTCATTACTAGAGGAAAACATGGCAAGGTCACTTTTGCATTATCACATACATCTCATCTACAACTTAAAGTTTGATATTGAGATAGATACAGTAAATTAAATGGTCAATAGGGAAGTGCTCGTGGACAAAGTTTGGCATCTACTCGCTCTGGCTCCTGTTGACTTACATTGTAAAGTAAACTCCTCAAGCTCAGTAACTGTTTGCTCAATTAATCTGTGGATTAGCGCTGTGATTTTGGTGTTTATATTATGGTATCGTTTTAATAATAAAAAAAACATCTATTTGCTTCTTTCACATCTGGCCAACATTTTGGTGACTCGATCAGTCCGAGGGTTTTTAATATTGAGTTATTTTTCAATTTTGTTCACAGTTAATTCAAGATTCAATAATTATTTGTAACAAGAAACAAGCATCACTCGAACACAACAGAAAGTGCAAAAGTACAAATAATTAATCGAAGTATTTGAGGCTTCTCTCTCCATTTGGTTTGTAATAAATCCTTTTGAGTTTCTGTCACACTCCGTCACTGAAGTTGCATTTACTCATTTGTATAAACTGGGAATAAACACAAAATGCTTTTAATTATCTCACGGAAATGTTTACTGGATCATTGTGTTTATTTATGGTATATATAAGAGTTAATAAGTAACACATATTGCACATTTTTAAAGAAAATTCCAAAGATATATTTAAACCACAGTGCTTTTAATCAGCACGTCTTCACTCTAACTTTGTCATGGGCAGAAGTTTAATTTCTCAACACTGAAGGATTTACATCAATTCTAAAATATTATTGAAAAGCAGTAAATAACAGAAATACTAATAAAGTAAATGGGAGACATTCTTGTATTTTCTGTGCTGCTTTCGGATCAGAAACAAAAGCCTTTATAGAAACTGAAATCTGTTGTTGAATGAATGGAAAACATATTTATGACTGTGGCTCTGTACACTGTTAATCAAAGTGTTTAAAGCCCCTTTTCACTGACTATCGCTTCTTCAGAGGTGAACATCACTAGTTCTTTGCTGCAGTAATTACATCACTAATTACAGCGTATATATCATATGAAGTAAACACAGACTTTTTATGGTATTTGAAAGTAACTGATAATGTCTATAAGAAATATCCTCTTGACAACAGAAGCCCCATTTCCATCAGCCCTACTCATCTCTACTCTACTTATCTCTACTCTACTCCTCTCTACTCTACTTATCTCTACTCTACTCCTCTCTACTCTACTCTACTCATCTACTCTACTCCTCTACTCTACTCCTCTCTACTCTACTCCTCTCTACTCTACTTATCTCTACTCTACTCCACTCTACTCTACTCTACTCATCTACTCTACTCCTCTACTCTACTCCTCTCTACTCTACTCATCTCTACTCCTCTCTACTCTACTCTACTCATCTACTCTAATCCTCTACTCTACTCCTCTCTACTCTACTCATCTCTACTCTACTTATCTCTACTCCTCTCTACTCTACTCTACTTATCTCTACTCTACGTATCTCTACTCTACTCATCTCTACTCTACTTATCTCTACTCCTCTCTACTCTACTCTACTTATCTCTACTCTACTCTACTTATCTCTACTCTACTCTACGTATCTCTACTCTACTCATCTCTACTCTACTCTACTCTACTTATCTCTACTCTACTCTACTCTACTTATCTCTACTCATCTCTACTCTACGTATCTCTACTCTACTCATCTCTACTCTACTTATCTCTACTCCTCTCTACTCTACTCTACTTATCTCTACTCTACTCTACTCTACTCTACTTAACTCTACTCATCTCTACTCTACTCCTCTCTTCTCTACTCCTCTCTACTCTTCTCTGCCCTGCTCTATTATACTCTACTCTACTCTACTCTACTCTACTCTTCTCTGCCCTGCTCTACTCTACTCTACTCTCTTCTCTGCCCTGCTCTACTCTACTCTACTCTCTTCTCTGCCCTGCTCTACTCTACTCTACTCTCTTCTCTGCCCTGCTCTACTCTACTCTACTCTTCTCTGCCCTGTTCTACTCTACTCTACTCCTCTCTTCTGTACTTGGTTGTACCTAGATAAAACCAAGGCCAAGAAAGACTAAAAAAGTACCTTATATCGGTTAACCAGGGACGGTGGAAAATAGGGGTAAAGTAGAGTAAAGCAAAGCAGAGTTGAATAGAAGAGAATAGAGTAGGGCCGAGTACAGGGCTGGTGGACACGGGGCTACTGTGTTTGAGGTGGTCGGTGCTGTGACCTCCTGCTGTGGTCCTCAGGGGCCCGTGGAGGGACGTGTCCTGGTGCATCTGGGTGTCTGCTCACTCCTGTGACGTGTCCCAGGCGCTCTACAACTTTGAGGCGTACAGCATGGTCCGAGTGGGGGTCCATCCCAGCGCCAGCGCCACCGTGTGGATGAAGCCGCGCAAGTTTGACTACACTGACTTTAGTGAGTGACATTCTGCATTCACACAGACAAACTGGAGACAAGTATGAAGGCGATAAATACTAATCCTAGTCCTTGAATATCTTGTTTAGTAAAGTTTTAGAATATGGATAAGATAATAGAAGATAAACTTTATTGATCTCACAACGATTGAGAAATTTACATGTCACATTTGGCATAGATAGTATCACTCAGGTTGTGCAAAAAGACAAGAAGTGTGCAAAAATGTTGAAGGTTAAAAAATATAGTCTCTCTTGTGCAGGATATTATGTGCAATAAAAAGTGGCAGTGCAGGTTTTTTTCTGTCCTTGTGGATTATTGGATTCTATGATTAGCTGACGAAATTAAATGAAACTGAACGGCCACATTCATGATAAAGTAGGGTTTATTAATTGTTTTTCACTGTACCACTGTCTTTAACGGCAGATACAAGAACTGCTGTAATAAATCACTAAAGATTAAAGACCATTTCCTCTCACATCGCGAAGATTCCTCCTGCGGCTCAAGGTTAACGACCCCATTAATCCCTGACCTTGTGTTTGCTTTCAGTCTTCAGTGCGCCTTCCGTGTCTCTGTCTCTGCAAGAGGACAAGCTGCTGGTCACGGTGCAGTTTCCCTGTGCGTCCAGCAGGCGGTGCTCTGCGCGGCGCTGCTGTCCCATCACAGAGCTGATCGACCCCCTGACCACTGTCACACTGTACAACAAGCTCAGCGAGTACCAGGTCCCACAGACACACTGAGAATGAGTATAATGTGTTTATGATAGATCCCTATGTGACTTCTATGAGACATAAGACCTCAGCACAAGCAACATATGGAGGAAAAGATGCAGCCAACTGCGTACCTAAGTGTCATTGTGTGTTTATAAGCCTACATAAGTCATTTTTCACTGAACATAAAAACAAGTGCACTCTAACATATATGGTAGTCACAGCTGCCCTGGGGTGGAATGACAGAGGCAAGGCTACTGACCTGTGCCATCGGACACACCTTATGATTTACCCTAATCTCTACCCTGAGTACATTAAATCATCTTGTTTCAATCAATATTTATTTGTAGAGCGCCTTTCATACACAGGCTAGCACAAAACGCTTCACCGTCCACATCACACAAGGCACAAATCATCACATTAAATATCCACCAAAATCACCATTAAAAAAGATAAAATCACACAGGTCTGGGATTACAAAATAAGTGACCACAGTGGATTAAAAATAGAGATGAAATCCTTCAGTTGTATGCACAGGATGTTTAGCAGTCTTTATGAACTTGTATGTAAGTACAGTGCATCCGGAAAGTATTCACAGCGCTTCAATGTTTTCACATTTTGTTACGTTAAAGCCTTATTCCAAAATGGATTCAATTCTTTTTTTCCCCTTAAAATTCTACACACAACGCCCCATAATGACAATGTGAAAACAATGTGACAATGGTTGATTATTGATAAGATAAGATAAGAATTCCTTTATTCGTCCCACAGTGGGGAAATTTTGATGTTGCATCGCACATATAGGACAGTAGTAAGAGCACACAGGGATCACACACAATATATACAAATAAGTAGTAGCTATGTTTCTTAGCTAACATAACTGGCTGTAGATGCTGAAAATGCTTCAATACCAATTGAAAATGTATTACAAATAAAAAACAAATAAATCACATGTACATTGATTTTGTATCTTCTAGATGCCCAAATAAACACACTTAAACTAAACTTAAACTTATAAGTATTCACAGCCTTTGCCGTGAAGCTCAAAATTGAGCTCAGGTGCATCCTGTTTCCACGGATCATCCTTGGGTTTTTCTTATGAGTTTTTCCTTACCAATGCAGGAGGGGTCTGTGGGGCAGTTAGTGTCCAACTAGAAGGACTGTGGAGAAGATCCCGGACACTTTAACATTCTACAACATGATTGGACATTTTTCAACATGTGTTCTATATTCTTTGTGTTTTAACTGTTGATTCTCTGATCTGTGTTGGTGATTTCAATGGTTTTGTTAAGTCCTCTGAGATGACTTCTGTTGTGATTTAGGGCTATACAAGAATACATTGTATTGTATACATTTTGCCACATTTCAGTCTTCAAACATAAAGATATAAAATTTAAATTTTTTGTCATGAATCAACAACAAGTGGGACACAATTGTGAAGTGGAACAAAATGTATTGGATAATTTAAACTTTTTTAACAAATAAAAAACTGAAAAGTGGGCCGTGCAATATTATTCGGCCCCTTTACTTTCAGTGCAGCAAACTCACTCCAGAAGTTCAGTGAGGATCTTTGAATGATCCAATGTTGTCCTAAATGACTGATGATGATAAATAGAATGCACCTGTGTGTAATCAAGTCTCCGTATAAATGCACCTGCTCTTTGATAGTCTCAGGGTTCTGTTTAAAGCGCAGAGAGAACCATGAAGACAAAGGAACACACCAGGCAGGTCCGAGATACTGTTGTGGAGAAGTTTAAAGCCGGATTTGGATACAAAAAGATTTCCCAAGCTTTAAACATCTCAAGGAGCACTGTGCAAGCAATTATATTGAAATGGAAGGAGTATCAGACCGCTGCAAATCTACCAAGACCCGGCCGTCCCTCCAAACTTTCATTTCAAACAAGGAGAAGACTGATCAGAGATGCAGCCAAGAGGCCCATGATGGCTCTGAATGAACTGCAGATAACTACAGCTGAGGTGGGAGAGTCTGTCCATAGGACAACAATCAGTCGTGCACTGCACAAATCTGGCCTTTATGGAAGAGTGGCCATTTCTCAAAGATATCCATAAAAAGTCTCGTTTAAAGTTTGCCACAAGCCACCTGGGAGACACAAACATGTGGAAGAAGGTGCTCTGGTCAGATGAAACCAAAATCAAACTTTTTGGCCACAATGCAAAACGATATGTTTGGCGTAAAAGCAACACAGCTCATCACCCTGAACACACCATCCCCACCTCAGCTGTAGTTATCTGCAGTTCATCCAGAGTGATCATGGGCCTCTTGGCTGCATCTCTGATCAGTCTTCTCCTTGTTTGAGATGAAAGTTTGGAGGGACGGCCGGGTCTTGGTAGATTTGCAGTGGTCTGATACTCCTTCCATTTCAATGTAATTGCTTGCACAGTGCTCCTTGAGATGTTTAAAGCTTGGGAAATCTTTTTGTATCCAAATCCGGCTTTAAACTTCTACACAACAGTATCTCGGACCTGCCTGGTGTGTTCCTTTGTCTTCATGGTTCTCTCTGCGCTTTAAACAGAACCCTGAGACTATCAAAGAGCAGGTGCATTTATACGGAGACTTGATTACACACAGGTGCATTCTATTTATCATCATCAGTCATTTAGGACAACATTGGATCATTCAAAGATCCTCACTGAACTTCTGGAGTGAGTTTGCTGCACTGAAAGTAAAGGGGCCGAATAATATTGCACGCCCCACTTCTCAGTTTTTTATTTGTTAAAAAAGTTTAAATTATCCAACAAATTTCATTCCACTTCACGATTGTGTCCCACTTGTTGTTGATTCATGACAAAAAATTAAAATTTTATATCTTTATGTTTGAAGCCTGAAATATGGTGAAATGTTGAAAGGTTCAAGGGGGCCGAATACTTTCGCAAGGCACTGTATAAGGTCCCACAGTTGACAGTGCATGTCAGAGCACAAACCAAGCATGAAGTCAAAGGAATTGTCTCTAGACCTCCGAAACAGGATTGTCTCGAGGCACAAGTCTGGGGAAGGGTACAGAAAAAATTCTGCTGCTTTGAAGGTCCCAATGAGCACAGTGGCCTCCATCATCCGTAAATGGAAGAAGTTTGCAACCACCAGGACTCTTCCTAGAGCTGGCTGGCCATCTAAACTGAGCGATCGAGGGAGAAGGGCCTTAGTCAGGGAGGTGACTAAGAACCCGATGGTCACTTTGTCAGAGCTCCAGCGTTCCTCTGTGGAGAGAGGAGAACCTTCCAGAAGGACAACCATCTCTGCAGCAATCCACAAATCAGGCCTGTATGGTAGTAGCCAGACGGAAGCTGCTCCTTAGTAAAAGGCACATTGCAGCCCGCCTGAAGTTTGCCAAAAGGCACCTGAAGGACTCTCAGACCATGAGTAAAAAAATTATCTGGTCTGATGAGACAAAGATTGAACTCTTTGGCGTGAATGCCAGGCGTCATGTTTGGAGGAAACCAGGCACTGCTCATCACCAAGCCAATACCATCCCTACAGTGAAGCATGGTGGTAGCATCATGCTGTGGGGATGTTTTTCAGCGGCAGGAACTGGGAGACTAGTCAAGATAGAGGGAAAGATGAATGCAGCAATGTACATAGACATTCTGGATGAAAACCTGCTCCAGAGCGCTCTTGACCTTAGACTGGGGCGACTTTCATCTTTCAGCAGGAAAACGACCCTAAGCACACAGCCAAGATAACAAAGAAGTGGCTTCAGGACAACTCTGTGAATGTCCTCGAGTGGCCCGACCAGAGCCCAGACTTGGCTCCAACTGAATATCTCTGGAGAGATCTGAAAACTCCCCATCCAACTTAATGGAGCTTGAGAGGTGCTGCAAAGAGGAATGGGCAAAACTGCCCAAAGACAGGTGTGCCAAGCTTGTGGCATCATATTCAAAAAGACTTGAGGCTGTAGTTGCTGCCAAAGGTGCATCAACAAAGTATTAAGCAAAGGCTCTGAATACTTATGTACATGTGGTTTCTTACTTTTGTAATACATTTAATACATTTGCAAGAATCTCAAAAGACTCTTTTTATGTTGTCATTATGGGGAGTTGTGTGTAGGATTGTGAGGGAAAAAAAGGAAAATCCATTTTGGAATAAGGCTGTAACATAACAAAATGTTGAACAAGTGAAGCGCTGTGAATACTTTCCGGATGCACTGTATTTATTCATTTGTATGGTAAAAAGGTTTTGTCTTTCTCAGAGTCGCACAGTGTGGACCCACGACACCTTGTCCTTCGTGGAGTTCTCTGGTTTAGCCCCGGGTCAGAACTACTGCGCTGTGGCCAACTTCTCCTTCCCAGACCTCAACATGGCCTCATCTCCCAGATCCAGCCCTCAGTGCATCCAGACCGTGTCCTACACAGGTGAGATATGAGGCACATGGCTCAGTGACCACTGGCTTCAGACGTGTGTGTTCCTCAGGACTGGTGCCTCTGCTGGGCATCGGGGTCTCTCTGGGCCTGCTGCTCATGGTGCCTCTGTGTGGAGTGTTTCTACGACCAAGACGCACCTCTACATCCCCCAGTGATCCGCCCAAATCACCGGTCAGTCCAACATCGCCCGGACACAGTGTTAAAGTTTTATACAGTTGCTTCTGTAAATCATCAATCAATCAACGTTTATTTGTAGAGCGCCTTTCCTACACAAGGCAACGCAAAGCGCCTCACAACCCATATAACATCATGCATAAATCATCAAACATTAGAATTTAAGTAAACATAAAAAGACAGATTAAGAGCACAAGATATATAAAATCACACAAGTAGTTAAAAACCGTAAAACATTAAAATCACACAAGGGATTACAATCATAAATAGTCATAGCGCATTAAAAAGATTAAAGATAAAAACAAATATAAAATCATTCACTTGTATGCACAGCTAAAAAGAACTGTTTTCAGTTCAGTTTTAAAAACTTCTAGAGTAGACGCCTGTCTCACATTCTCGGGAAGACAGTTCCAGACTCTAGCTGCATGAATCTGAAACGCAGCCTCCCCATGTCTAGTTCCGACTCTTGGCACTAACAGAAGTCCAGTCCCTGTGCTCCTCAGAGCCCGAGTTGGTTCATATGGCACCAACATGTCGCGGATGTACCCTGGTGCGAGGCCATGGAGAGACTTGTACACAAGTAAAGCTGCTTTAAAATCTATTCTCTGAGCCACAGGAAGCCAGTGCAGAGACCTGAGGACCGGACTAATGTGGTCGTACTTCCTGGTTCTAGTCAGGACTCGAGCTGCAGCATTTTGGATGTACTGCAGCTGTTTTACCGCTTGTTTAGAGAGACCTGTGAACAGGCCATTGCAGTAGTCCAATCGACTGGAAACAAATGCGTGGATAAGAATCTCCAAGTCTGCTTTAGACACTATGTAAATCATACTGTATACATTTACTTAAGAAATAATGCACTTGAAAGAAATAGCTTCAGCCTACTCCTTTTCAGTCTTTCTTTCTGCTGCAAATTTACTGCTCTATAACTTTTATGTTTGGTACAAGTGACCAAATATAAAATGTATTCATTCAAGTTGAGCCTACTTAGACTTTATTGATCCACAAGGGAAATTGCGTTGTCACAGTAGCTTGCATAGTTTTCACAATAAAAATAAAAAATAACATCAAAGTAACAATTTGAAAATAAGAATAATATAATATTGTAAGAATAGAATAATCTGGATGTAGGTGCTCAGGAATATACATATCTGTGAACATGTACACATGTACAGTATACAATACAGAGATAATAAAGTACACATCTGTTGATATACAATGTATACAAGGACAAAGCAGATAAAGTTGACGTCTGTACTCATGCTGTATGTTCTAATGTCTAATGTTTGTATTTTGGATCATGCTGATTTAAGTCCCATCTTTGAGGATAGTGTTGTAAATGCATTTCTCTCACAGCCGCCTCTCCATGAGCCAGTCATCTTGGAACCTCTGTCTGCGATGCCTGTGGACCTCAGGGACATTCACATAGAAGTCAGTGACACAGAGTCGTCCCAGTCCTCCCCCAGTCCCTCGGTCCACACCTCTCCTGTCTTCAGACCGGCTCCAGTCCAGGCTGATGTATTGTGACAGTGGTGGGACAAAGATGCAACAGTCACTTTTTGAAGAGACAATTGGTTGAAGCGTTGTAGGACTTTTGTTGAAATGCAGTTGAAAATGAAACAATGATGGATTTTATGGTTCATTTGATAATAAAGATGTGTCAGTGAAAGCTTACGAGCGGGCTCCATGCTTTGGCAGAGATGAGTAACACAGTAGTGGCCCCTCAGTGCTGACCACTGACAGTGAAGCCACTGAAAGGGAACGTTTAGGTGTCCTCTGCTGCCAGTGCTTTCTCCTGTTCATTTAGTGCCACGCTCCGACGCTGCTCCAGCTTCACCAAAGCCACAGCGACCCCCACGGCCCCCCACAGCCCTGCTCATCGATCAGTTTGTTTAGCGTCTGACTCACTGCTCCCCCTGTTCCGGGACTGACAGCTGCAGTTTGGCTCTGCTTTTCTGGGGTTGGGTTTTTTTCTGCAACAATGGGGAGATTTATTATGTTTACTTTCTACAGAGTCCAGCTCAATGTTTTTGAAGAATATGAAATGATTTTCTTTATTTTTGGCCAAAACAATGCATCATTTATTCATTCACTCCATACACGAGGGTGATTACTACTGTAGCCACAGCTTCCCTGGGTCACACTTACGGAAGCGAGGCAACCAGTATGTGCCATCAGCCCCTTCGACCATCGCAAACTATTCAGTCACACACCAGACTCATTCGGCACTGTGGGTGAAGTGTCTTGCCTAAGGACACAAATACAATTAACAGCCATCCCTCTGAGGCACCTGGTATTCCCAAAGGTCTCCCATCATAGTACTAACCAGTCCCCCCTGCTTAGTCTGACAGGATCTGGCTTTCAGATGCAGCAAGGTATGGCCAAAACACATACATGGTTTAAGTAGAGAAAGTGAAAGGTTATTTAGAAATTTGCTTAAACATTTCATTACTGCTGTTTGTACCTTTTTACACATTTTAATGCCTTTCCCTGTGGTCCCACTCAGTATGTGTGTAAAAAAAGCCTTTAAAAGAGACCGGAGTGCACAGGTAGAAGGGGCAAACACCTTCAACCAGGCCTCTGTTCCTGGTTCACATTCGAGCCATAGAGCCATTTAATGAGGTAGAACAGTATATATACTTTCTCGCTGCTTCTCGACTTAATAGCAGGAAATGCTGAGTCACGAGCTCTGACTCACTGCTGTGGCGTTAGCTTTACCCCCAGTGTGGACCGCAGGTGTGCTCAGGGAGAGGTAACAGCCACCAAACTCAACAAACGCTTTGTTTCAAGTAATTTAATTTGGCCTTAAAATAATTAATATACACAATATACAAAAGAAACAAATACATTATTATTTTTCCGTCTTGCAGTGAAGGTTGGCAGTGCATTCTTGGCCTTGATCTTGGCTTCAGTCGGAGCTCAACCGTCACTTTCTGCTCTAGTTTCTTGCGTTGATCTCGACTGACCTCAGTAGCTCATCTGCGCCAGTACTGTAGAAACATTGGGTTTTCGTTTAGAACATAATAGTCTGAATTTGAAAACATTGTGGTGAAAATGTGAGCGGAGTGAAGTCATACTTGGGCAAATTTGTGAATCTGTTCGACCACCGCAGCAAACAGGGCTCCTACGCTCTCGTCGATCAGGCTCTGCATGTAGTGCACCGCCTCCTCGTCAGAAAGGTCCAGACGGAACTTATCTTGGACCTGAGGACGTGAGCAGAACACACCTGTGAGTGAGAGCGCTCCACATCACAGGGCAATCCCCAAATAATGAGTCTATCACCTTTTTGACGGTTTTATCAGGCTCCAGAGCAATATCAGGAATATTAGCATCCACCATCAGAGAGAACAAGTTCAGAATCAGGTTGGAGTACCTGAAACACAGTAGGCAGGAGGAGTGGATTACATCAGGTCTGTGTAGAGAACAATGACTTTTCTTCTATGGTCCTAGTGGTCTCTGATGGCGCTCATGCCTGTGTCTATTTTTGTCTGTTTAATGGTTAAAGTTTAATGTATGTGGTTATAGCATGTAAACCTCTGTCCCAGGACAAATTTCTTCAATGCGAGACAATAAAGGAGTATCTTATCTTAACACAATGAAACCTGAGTAGAAAAGGCCACAAATGACCTTAGTTAAAATTAACTTTCTGCTAAATCTCAGTCTATCACACCTGTGGCTCATGACTGTTATGTATTTGCTGACACTGGCTGATCACTAATTTAGAGAACAATATTTGCAAATAAAGTAAGAGACGACAGCGATAACTACTGCTCCACTGCGTAAAATAGGCTTGAATTTCTTTAAAAAACAAGGGAAAACCAGTCTAACATGTCTGAATGTTATGTGTTCTATACATTTCATGCAGGTTAGTCCGGCTTTGTGCTTTAAAAGTCTATAGAAAACTCATGTTGAGGTGGGTTTTGTAGAGCTCCATTAGCACCATTTGGATTATTTGCATTTATGGAAGCATTCATCAACAGTTATGGACATTGGTATTGGGAACACCAATACCAATGTGTTTAATTTCTTGTGTTTTAACAGTTTGATTCTCTGATCTGTGTCGGCGAATTCAACGGTTTAGTAAAGTCCTCAGAGATAACTACTATTGTGATTTAGGGCTATACCGGAATACATTGAATGGAATTGACTGCATGTGTTCTGGGTTTGAGAATGTGACGTTTACCTCCTGAGGTGCAAGAAGGCCGTATAACACTGCTTCCTGAACTCCTGGTACTGCTCGCTCTGCATGCCTCCCATCCCCTCCACCATCTCTTTACTCAGCTTCATGGGCGGAGGCAGGGGCTTGGGGTCTCTGCCCAGGATGTACCCGAAGTCTATGTGGAAGAGCTTCCCTGAGAACACAGACAGGTCTCAGTGTGGCTCCCTTAAAACACCTCTGACGGAAAGTACGCATTGGTTTTGTTTACCAGTTTTTGTCAGAAGCAAATTGTCCAAGTGTCTGTCGCCCACTCCCAGAATGTAGGTGATCACGCAGTAGCCGGCTGAAGAGGAGAGCGGGTTGGTTTGTTAGTTTAGATACTGCAGTAGCTAACATTTCTTGTCCCAACAGTCTTAACATTTTCAAAATCAGACCTCAACATTCTGTCTTAATCTTATAAAACATGTCATTTTTTTTTTTTACACACTACTTGCTGTCACATTTTTAAAAACAGATGTATTGGTTACTAGTCATTTCACTACATGTTGTTGACCGTGCAAATATAAATATCTATCTATATGAATAATCTGATCTAAAGATGAGGCCACAAAATATCCATGCAAAACCTAGGACAGAACCAAACCGTTTTGAGAGCGAGGAACTAGTTAGATCTGGGAGGTCAAACTAGTTCCAGACAGTGTGGCTGCAGGATTTCATTCCAACCAAGCAGGAGCACACCAGAGTCCGTCCATGTCCTCAAGTCTTCAGTTTGATCCTGAACCCGCTTGAGGTAATGGGCGGAGTGTTTTGTTTGGTTGGAATGAAATCCTACAGCCACACTTCAGCCACACCTGCCCTTTGCGGACCGGTTTGACACCTCAGAGTTAGATGGATTTATGAACTTTACAGCCCTTTTTTCCATGTCAACTTGTTTAGAATATTTTGAGTAAAAACTGCCACTTACCGCAGCTCTTGACATATGTGTCCATCACCTCTGGGCTGATCCCATACGGACCCTTTTCACTCGGCGCATGCTTTCTGAAAAAGCTCTGAAGATAAAAAACAAAACAGGTTCTTTATAGAAAATCTGCTCCAACTAAAGCAACAAATGCACCACATGAACATAAAACAGACTTGAATATTTCCTTCTGTGGCCAGGACCTCTGCGACAGGCACAGACTGGACAAACTGCATAAAACCTGAAATGTACAAAGACATAAGTGATAAATACTAGTAAATCATTGCTGGAGGGTGCAGTGTTTTCATTACCATGTTTTGTGCTGGTGGCTAGAACTTTGTATGGCGTCAACTTCAAGTCTAAATTCTCCTTTCTTAACAGCTACAGAAGCAGTTAGCATGTTAGCATTTTGTTAGCATTCATTGGTTATAGTTGTATGAATAAAACACTACACACCTTGTCCATGAGAGAAATTATTTGAAGAATGAGCTGGTCCTGTCTGAGGTCATCTCCATGTTTGAAGATGACAGGATACATCGCTCCATCTTCAGCTTTGAAAATCAACTTGGCCGGCATCAACGCACTCTGAAAGGCAAGAGAAGGATCGCGTTTAAGTGTTTGAATTGCACTGGAGTCTGTGGTGGTATGCGGTGATGTTTGAGCCGTGCCTTGAACAGTGTGGCGGTCTCTGGGACAATTCCTTTGATTCGTATCTGCGGCTCCAGTGGGAGAGGGATGGGCTCGATGTCGGAGAGATTCACTTTCTCGTTGTCGGCCAGAAGAGCCTGCAGCCGCTCGGTCTGAAGGGGAGACACACACGTGGGAACACAGGACAGTGAGATCGCTGGGTAAATGTTTAGAAATTGTTTTTTTTTTCTGTTGCTTTCACTTATGTGTATGTAGGTGTGTGTGTTTATATGCATGTATGTAGGTGTGTGTGTGTTGGGGGGTGTGTATATGTCTGTAGGTATGTGTATGTGGGTGTGTGTATATGTACAGTGCCTTGCGAAAGTATTCGGCCCCCTTGAACCTTTCAACATTTCGCCACATTTCAGGCTTCAAACATAAAGATATAAAAAATTTTTGTCATGAATCAACAACAAGTGGGACACAATCGTGAAGTGGAACGAAATGTATTGGATAATTTAAACTTTTTTAACAAATAAAAAACTGAAAAGTGGGGCGTGCAATATTATTCGGCCCCTTTACTTTCAGTGCAGCAAACTCAGTCCAGAAGTTCAGTGAGGATCTTTGAATGATCCAATGTTGTCCTAAATGACTGATGATAATAAATAGAATGCACCTGTGTGTAATCAAGTCTCCGTATAAATGCACCTGCTCTTTGATAGTCTCAGGGTTCTGTTTAAAGCGCAGAGAGAACCATGAAGACAAAGGAACCACGCAGGTCCGAGATACTGTTGTGGAGAAGTTTAAAGCCGGATTTGGATACAAAAAGATTTCCCAAGCTTTAAACATCTCAAGGAGCACTGTGCAAGCAATTATATTGAAATGGAAGGAGTATCAGACCACTGCAAATCTACCAAGATCCAGCCGTCCCTCCAAACTTTCATCTCAAACAAGGAGAAGACTGATCAGAGATGCAGCCAAGAGGCCCATGATCGCTCTGGATGAACTGCAGATAACTACAGCTGAGGTGGGGATGGTGTGTTCAGGGTGATGAGCTGTGTTGCTGTTACGCCAAACATATCGTTTTGCATTGTGACAAAAAGTTCAATTTTGGTTTCATCTGACCAGAGCGCCTTCTTCCACATGTTTGGTGTGTCTCCCATGTGGCTTGTGGCAAACTTTAAACGAGACTTTTTATGGATATCTTTGAGAAATGGCTTTCTTCTTGCCACTCTTCCATAAAGGCCAGATTTGTGCAGTGCACGACTGATTGTTGTCCTATGGACAGACTCTCCCACCTCAGCTGTAGTTATCTGCAGTTCATCCAGAGTGATCATGAGCCTCTTGTCTGCATCTCTGATCAGTCTTCTTCTTGTTTGAGATGAAAGTTTGGAGGGACGGCCGGGTCTTGGTAGATTTGCAGTGGTCTGATACTCCTTCCATTTCAATATAATTGCTTGCACAGTGCTCCTTGAGATGTTTAAAGCTTGGGAAATCTTTTTGTATCCAAATCCAGCTTTAAACTTCTCCACAACAGTATCTCGGACCTGCCTGGTGTGTTCCTTTGTCTTCATGGTTCTCTCTGCGCTTTAAACAGAACCCTGAGACTATCAAAGAGCAGGTGCATTTATACAGAGACTTGATTACACACAGGTGCATTCTATTTATCATCATCAGTCATTTAGGACAACATTGGATCATTCAAAGATCCTCACTGAACTTCTGGACTGAGTTTGCTGCACTGAAAGTAAAGGGGCCGAATAATATTGCACGGCCCACTTTTCAGTTTTTTATTTGTTAAAAAAGTTTAAATTATCCAATAAATTTCGTTCCACTTCACGATTGTGTCCCACTTGTTGTTGATTCATGACAAAAAATTAAAATTTTATATCTTTGTTTGAAGCCTGAAATATGGTGAAATGTTGAAAGGTTCAAGGGGGCCGAATACTTTCGCAAAGCACTGTATGTAGTGTGTGTGCATATATATATATATGCGTGTGTTTATGTGTACACATCAGGACGTGATTTATAATTTATAGTTTGCACTGTAACTAAACTTTCACACACACAAAACTTAAAAATACATTGGTTTATTATCATATAAAGATTTTAAAAATACATTTGTTTTACATGTACTGTGTTTTTGGGCCCCCTGCCTATAGGCTAATTCAGCTTCCTGGGAGTTCCCTTTTACAAAACTCCAACAAACCTTAGAAATAAGAATGTGTATGACTTGTAAATAAAAAGAATTGAACGGCGGATGTACCTTCTTTTTGCGGTTTCCACTCTCTCTCTGCACGGCCTTCATCAGCTGCACCAGTCTGTCCACAAAGGTCTGCTGAGCTGCCAGCAGAGATCTCATGACCCTGACGTTCTTATCGCCCTGAAAAAGGAAAACAGTCGCTCAATTCAATTATGAACGCAAATAAAGCAACAGTCCGTAACCTTCTGGTGGCACATCCCCTACATGACTCCATGGAACTGGGGTTTGTATGTAGTGGCCATGTTATATTAGAAGAAACAGAAATGACTCTTAACATTTACTCAGTCACCTCGTCCCATACCCTTGTGCTGCTAACATGCACTTGCTTAATTTTTATTCCAAAGTTGGGGTTTTATACTTACTTATGATTCTAGTAGCAAGTCAGAGATTTTGTACTTAATTCTTGCTTCTTAATTATTGCAAAGTTGCACCTTATTATGCTATGGCTAGAGATTAAATAATGCTTTTTTATGCTATGGCTAGAGATTAAATACTGCTTTTTTATGCTAAAGATAGAGATTTTATTTTATTTTAGTATAGGGTTATTTTGGAACGAATGAAGGATCAATTAATCGTTATCATTGATCTGGTATTTTCATTTATTTAACTGATAGTATGAATTTCATGTTTTTAAAGGAAATAAAACAATGTGCAAATTTCATTTCGTACATTAGGGAAATAATAATTGACCTGAGTTTACGGATGGCTAAAGGCTACTGTTTAACACAAGTAGGACTATAAAAGTGCTCAGAGTGCAGACCTGCACCACAAAAGTGCCCTTTTCTACAAATTAAGAGCAAAGTAAAAGACCTTTACGGTTAAGTAAATAATACGTTTTAATACGTAAACTTGTAATTGGTTACTGATCCTATTGAGTATTCAGAAATAAACTTTTGCCAAATGGTTTTTAACTGCAAATGGCAAATACAAAGAGTCTTAATGTCAACTATTTTTCCAGTGTGAGTAAATGGTGTGTTGCATGAGAATTGTTGCCATGGTGATCAGACCTTAAGCAGCGCCTGGCTGAACCTCCTCATCACGTTCAGGTACATCTCATGAGTTTTTGGATCCCTCAGCTGAGTGTCCTGGTCCTCACACTCCACGATCACATACCTGGCAACACACACCTCATTAGCGGCTATAGTCAGAGATGCTTTGGTTTTGTATGGTTTTTCGCTTCTCACCAATACAGGTAATTAGCCAGGGTTGAGTTCTTGCAGGCTCTGGAGATGAGAAACGTGCACAGGTCCTGCCACAAATCACACATAAAAAAATAATCAGGATTTATTGAAAAATTATTTTAGATAGTATGTGTAATGTAAATGAATAAATGAAAGAGCAACATAAAAAAAAATATACTTTCCCACCTCTAAATTGTCACTTTCCGCTCCATCTTTGCCCTTCAGTGGCGCCGCAGATGCAGAGAAAGAAGAAAGAATCTGGGAACTAGGACAAAGAAAATATTTTGATGACACTGCTTTGTTTGGGCAGCACAGTTTCCTCGGGGTGCTCCGGTTTCCCCAATCATTAAAAACATGTAAAATAGATCTGAATGTAATGAATGGAGAGAATGCATGGTGATGGGAATTTCTGTCTGTGTGTTAGGTGAATGGAATTTACCTTAATTTGTAAAGGAGCAACTTTGGTTTGAGAAATATGCTAATTGAAAATCTATAATTATTAAACAAACAATTTCTGTCCTTTTCTCCTACTGCCCGATCACTGGAGCCACTTCTGCAAGTTATTCATTTAACTGATAATGTTACTCCAATTGAACTTAACAGAACAAAACTTTTAATTTTCTTTTATGCAGACAATCTTTTGTATGTGAGAGGACAAAAACATTACAATTTTCTGGAGAAAAGTGCCCCACTGGAGGTAGTTTACTATGAATGACCCGTGGGACGAGGGCTCTGAACAGACCTGTCCTGAGCAGAGTCATCAGAAAGGCCCTGTCCGTCTCTTTTACTGCTGGGATCCAAGCCGCCCTGAATGTCACTGAAGCTTTCGTATTTCAGAGCCTGAACCAACTGCAGCAGGTACATCAGCAGGTCCTGAAAACACACAAGGATCACGGTCAGTCCCAGATAATATGCTGTAGTGGATCTTTTCAAACAAAGCATGTTTCCTTCGCCTAAATATCACATTTCTTCTTCACATGTTGCTTTTTCATAACAGCTACATTTGTGCTTTCATCTAAAAATAAAAAACAAGTACACAGAAGGTGTGGCCTGTTCTGAAGAGTCTCTGAAGTGTATTCATAGTTTATGTGGATAAGTATGCAACACATTAAAAAATGAATGGATACAGATATTTAGAAATAAGCCGAAAAATGTACATACAATAACCGTAAATGAAACTTCCAACTTTGTAGAAAGTAATACAAAGAATTCATAATAGTCATTTTGAGCCAATAATAATAAAAACAAAGACAACCAAAAAGTTTCAAACACATGTAAACAGATGTAAAGGTCGGGGTTTTATGGTTTCCTTCTGAACCTAAAGACTGGTACAACCTCGTCGTCCGCCTGCTGCAGCCGCGTGACCGCGTAGCGTCGGACGGTGGGGTTAGTGAAGTGTGAGGACAGAAGCTCCAGAGCGTCCTCCACGTCCATGGGCCTCCACTTCCCCAGCAGCTCCAGCGCCTGCTTGGCCTCCTGCGGCAGGTCCCAGTTCACACACTTCAGGAACTTGGTTAAGGCCTGCAGCAGGAAACAAACTTAACAAACATGCATCACATTTATCAGATCCCTTCCAGCGCACGCACCTTCTCCTGGTTGGTGAGGTAGTACCTGAACTTCCACACCAGATCCTGTTCCTCAGAGCTCAGTTGTTTGGTTGGAGGGTAACTTACAATAATCTGTAGAATAGTGAAAGTCATCCGCCATTTAGTCTTTTGTTTTGGAGTGTTAAATCAATGCAGTCTGCTTACATTGAGTTGATCTCGTGTAGCAGCGTTAGGCTTCAGGTCATGGTCTGAGGGTCCACTGCGAAGGCTACGAGCCAGTTTGTGATGTTTGCTCTCCACCAGGTTCTCCTGAAGATGATTTAACATACACGTAGTCAGACCCAAACTTCCAATGAATGAAAGTCTAAGATTTCCTGTTTCTGTTCTTTACCATCCCCATCTGTGGGTCAGGGACTTTGACGATCTCACAGCTGTTAAGTACACGTGCTGCATCGTCTCCATCCTGAACAAAAACAAAAAGACATGAGTAAATCTTATTATTGATTGTATATAAAGCTAAAGCTAATTAAATTGATTAGATATGAGATACACACCTTCTCAAAGTAAACAATGCTGTATTCCTTGTCATTTTCTTTGACACGAGGAAACTCAACCATAAGGTACATGAAGTTAGAGCTACGTTTTTCGCTCTGCAAAACAGGTCGATTCAATTCAATGTATTCTTGTAGATCACAACAGTAGTTTTCTCATAAAACTTTACAAAACCCTTGAATTTGCCAACATAGATCAGAGAATCAAACAGTGCAAACACAAGAAATGTAATGATAAAAAACACATAGAGCCATTGGTCCATAAGGGGCACAGAGACCAATGTCCCTAAATGTTGATAACAATTATCGGAGACAAACATATGTGGTACACACGAGAATATTAAACCAATAACTCACCTCATTGATCATTTCAATTTCTCTGAAGGTCAGACGGTCCAGCCAGTCCACCTTCACCATGTGGCCCTGCCTATGGGCTTTTGTCAGCTGCACAGCAAGAACACCAGTGATTTTGTGTTTTACAATAGACAGTAGGCGGTCATCAGCAGTAGTCATGCACACACCAGGTGCTAGCTCAGTCCAAAGTGGGTTAATACAAACTTAAAGGGAACGTATATAAGATTTTTGTTTTAAATGTACATATTTACTGTATATTTGTCTTCATATAAGAGGTTCAAAGGAAGGAGGAAGTTCAAAGAGGTATTTTCGGACAACAGTTTGAACGCAAAACAATTCTGCATTCCAATAAGAATGCAGAATGAGCCCACACAGGTCTCCCATTTGGGTTGCCAGTTTCTTTGGTGAAATCCATCTGGTTCAATCGCCACTACTTAAACCTCACGACCTGCAGCAAATGATGAGCGCTCGAAAAGCACATAAGACATTGTAAATGTAGTAACTTTAACACCAGTAAAAGCAGAAACTACATACGGTTCCTTTAAATGAAGCAGGAAACAAGATGCCTAGGGATCAGCACTTGAGTGAATTGCACCATGAAGGTTTTAGACTAGAATACAATTTACCAATGTTTCTGAATTTACATATTCTATTTCACCATACAAATAAACTATATAACATTAAAAAAATAGCTCATAAAATCAGCACATACACCGAACTACAGTGTTCCAAGCAGCGGACAAGCCAAAACATATGTACAAATGAACTGATAAATCTACTTTCATTCCAAATCTGGAACAACTTTATGATGAAGTCACTACTCCTACATGGTTGGCCTTATTGACACACACTCTGCTGTACTCACATCCTTGAGTACTTCTAGGTCAGGACCCTGGAACAAATGATGCTTCAGACAAAGCAGCCAACAACTCCAATTCTGTTATCTCCACCACATCGGTCATCACCTCCTGCATCTTTCAAGTCACTACACCCTACTTTATTGGCAGGGACTGTACCTTGGCAAGTCGACCCATTTGGTCCTCAGCCAGGCTGCTGGTGGTGCGTCCTGGGGTTGTAGTGGGGTCTCCTCCATCCCCCTCCACTCCGGGCCAAACTTTAAGATCATGCATGCCTTGCCTGAACATTCTGAAATGAGGCAAGACTGTGAGCAATGTTGAAAATGTATCCAAAATTAAACTGGATGCTCCAATATTCAACACCACTGTTTTATAACTTTTGTTGGTGGCCTGTGGCTCTTAATATCTCATTACCCGTATTTGCCAAATAGAGTGACAGTGGTTCCTCCCACAGGGATAGCCTTTCCTGGGCCGTAGATGTCCCACACGGTGAGGGCCACCTGAGCACTTTGGGGCAGGTCCGGATACTTGACTGGTAACCGGAGCCACTCATTCCAACTAAACACAAAAACAACAATTAACACAGAGAACTGTATACTTCGTAATTGAAGTGTAATAAATTATATTTCTTCACTCACTTCCAGCGTGTGCTAAAGGCTTTGTATGATGTGCGGACAGGCAGTGCCAGAGGCTTTCCCTCTGCAAACACCTGACATGTGACATAGAGGTCGGAGCAGTTCTCTTGGTAGAGGCCAGAGAAGCGTAGCATAGGGTCTTCCAGCAGGGCTTTGTAGCTCTTCTGCTCTCGCTTGCCTTCTAGACTGCCTCTGTAAATCAGATTGGACCATGTAATAACTCAATATAATATTGGGACATTTTAAGCTGCTCTTGCAAAGAAATTTCTCTTTTTTATGGTTGTTACTATTAAACCAATGCAACTTGTTTTCATAGCAGGTATGATGCCAGTTATAAACAGCTATTGATGAGGTGTAAGATAGGATCGAAACTCTTCACAAATCTCGGCAAATAGCAGAAAGAAAAATAGATAAATACAGAGACAGCTTTGTCAACTTTTTGGATTTAATCTGACCCATGTGAAAAAGTCACTGTTCATCACTGTTACAAGAGAGACTTTGTTATGAGTAGAAACACTTACATTTTAAGCTGAACGTTGATATCCAGGTCACAACTGTAAACATAGTTAAACTTGTCAGTGTCCATCTTCCTCCGGGAGAACACTAGAAAAGAACCAAGACCTCAATCCCCGGACCCCTGGAGCCTGTGTGCTGGGCCTCGGACCATAGACACTACAGCTCACTGCATACAGCTGTGCAATGACACCCAGACAGAGGATACGGTTTATGGTGTGTAAACACAGCAGCAAGTGTCCGCATTTATAACAAATACATTGTTTTACTGAGTGTCCGCTCACCAGACATGATTAGGGGGTTTTAGCTAAACAAAAACACGGCCGCTACAGGAGTGAACCTGTCAGGGAAGAGTAGCTGACCACAGAATGTGGACAGTGTGTAGTGTAAGGCGGCCATCATTGTTACATGGATCTGCTAGTGTGGTCTGGTCAAATGATCGGCAGAAGCAGGAAGTGGAAAATAATGGGCGGGGCTTTGATTCCCTGCAGATTCAAATGAAGCAAGAAGTCTGTCTCTTTCCTTTAAAATGTTTATTTATAAAGGAAGCAACAAGTGAACTTAAATAATTTTTTACAGATGTTTTAATGCAACTTTGATCAAAGATCTCTGAGATGACTACTGGCTATATAAGAATAAATTGAAATTTTATGCCACAAAATTCTAAGTGGGGATATTTTTTATATCAAATTGGATAAAGACAAACGAAATAAAAACAATTAGCATGTGAAGCAATTTCACACTTATGAAAGAACCTTCACTATTTGTCACAAATCAAATGTAAACTATTTGAGCTGTTATTTATTTAGTTTATACCAGAAACTTTCTTGTCTGTCACTTTGAGTTCATCCATCCATCCATTTTCTTCCCCTTAATCCATTTCTGGGTCAGGGGGTGGCAGTCAGAGCTGCACCCAGTACACATATCACCAGCCCCTCACCTCCTGCAGGTGGTGAGTCCACAGGAGCCTTGATCTTCCAGTGGGGGAAAGTGTCTTGCCCAAGGACACAACTGAGCTACTGTCGCCTCACTTTGAGTTGATTACTATAATTCTATGATAGCATTATAGAACTATTGAACTACTATAAAAACAGCTTTATTATGAATTGTATTTATATAGTTCTTTGCTGAATGAATTAAATTGGTACAGCTCGAGCTTGTGTATAAAACTTCATCCTGTCCCATAGAAAATACAGTAGAACCAGACTTTTTCTTTTGTAACTATAACTGGAATATCCCCCACAGTTTGGCCACCTGGTTTAATAGATGATAAATGCAGACAAAACGTACTAATCCACAAGAACACGGACAAAACAAATCAATAGACTACTTTATTCAATATTAGTGGAGTGAGTTTTGCGGATCCTCACAGTAGCCCACTTCACTTTTCTGTATGAAAAAGTTGACCTGAAACTGCTCCAGGCCAAAAGAATCATGCATGTGAGAACTAGTGACTTCTGTTCTGTTTTGAGAGCTTGGGAATAGTTGCTGATTTTAGCTTCAAAGATTGACATGCTTTTTATAACCCATTCTAAAATTGATAATAACCTTTCCGTGCCTCACAGTGATCAAACAAAGTACAATGACAAACAGAAAAATAAAATGTATAAAAAAGCTGATTTGATAAAAGTATGATGATGTCGGTGACGTCAAAAATCAGCACGTTTTAAATACATTATACTTTATATTTAGTGCATTTAGTAGAAATAAGATGGTTTCTGATTCAAGGGTCCTTAATATAGTGGCAACAAATGAATGAATCTAATCAAATAGAACAGTCTGATTCATTCTCAAAATGACAATAACAAACGTTTCTAGGAAAATGAGGACCTTTAAGAAGCTTTCTTCCTGAGCATAAATCACAAGGCAGCTGTTATTTCAACCCTTCTGTAGCAAACCACTCAAACTGTTACAATTAAAATCCTCCTTTCTCCAACTAAATTCACACAGCGTAAAGTTTGAGAGGTGTGAGACTGGAAAATCCTCTGGTTTTAATAGTTTCATCTCACTCGTCTTGCTGCTGATGACAGATCCTTGTCAAGTCGGGTGTGACTGACCTTCTGCACAACACCCTCTGGCCCGAGGGCTCAGCAACACCCAATGAACGAATGGGCACCTTCCAGTCGTAAAACTATAAATCAGTGACAATGTTTACAAGTACATAATATTCGGGTGATCCTATTGTAAATGTAACCCTACATTAACTCTCTTTGTATGCACTATGTGGAGCTTCACTTTGGCAACGATGACTCACACAGAAGTCAGGGGTCTCTCGCTGAGTTAAACTTCTGAATGCACCCTGACGTTTTGTGAGTTTAGAGGCTCAGAAAATGAACAAGACCGATTTATTACTTCACTTGCTTTCACTGGTTGTTTGATACGTGTCCGTGCATTAATGGGACTATTCAAAACTATGTCATATTCTTGTGTTGAAATTGTGCAGAGGAGCTGATTGTCCCGATGTTGAGAGTGTTTTGTTTGTTTGTGTCCCACTGTACTTTAAGCCTAACACAAACTGTCCTTTAGGGAACAATAAAGTTGAACCTTGAACCTTTGAATCCACGCATTTCAAAAGACCAGTTGAATAAAGCTTATACTCTGATAAGATGCAGACAAACTGAAGAGATATAATGGAGAGGGTTTTTCTTATTTTATTATGTATTTGAAGGTATCAATAAACAAGATAATTTGTATCTGGACTGTATCCTGGATGTGCACAATCCACATGGTGGAGAAAATTATGTAAATTAGAATCTGTTTTTTACTCACTAAATCAACCTTTAATTCACAAGCAAACACCAAGTGCTTCACTGCCCATGTCACATTAGATATTAAATTATAAACACTGAAATTATACAGGGCATTAAAAACAACCACACTGAATATTAAAAACACAAACATTAAAATGACACAGGTCATTAAAACACACAGGGTATTAAAATCATAAATATTCCCAGTGCATTAAAAGAGTTAAAATTCAACCCTTCAGTTTTGTGGCCCCTCTCCCTCCTTAACCCCACACTCCCCTCTCTTTGAACCTTGTTCTTAGTCACCAAATGGATGTGTCATTGTTTCTATCAGTTTGGAGTGTCATGGCCATTGAAGCGCATCGAGGTGATCTCTGGAGTGCCACAACAGCGCCAAGTCGCTCCCCAACGTCCCTCACTGACCGGGGCAAGCCTGGGGGCCACATGCTGCAGCGGACCACTCCTCCAGCCTCGGTCTGGGATAGGTATAAATGCAGAAATGTGAGATGACATTGGACAGAAGACGAGATGAAGTTCACGGGCATCAACTGGACCCTGGCTGTGGTCATCACTTCTCTGTGGAGCAGCGGTGGATCAGCCCACACAGAGTGTCACATGAACCTCAGAGGTAGGACAGAAGAATTCATTTTAGAATAACACATATTTTGGTACTAAGAGCCATCTGTTCTTTCAGCCTTGTGCACGTTTGAGGGTAAGAACTATGCTCTGGGTGAAACCTGGATGGACAACAGCTGCATGCAGTGCACCTGTCTGCACCCTGTGGGAGTGGGCTGCTGCGAGATGTAAGTTTACACAGATGCTTTGGTCGTCCGGGAGAGCATTCAGATTCGTGTACGAGTTTACTTCTGGCTTACCTGGCCAGTGTCGGCACTTTTGGGGGCCTAAGCACAAAATATAATTTTAGGCCATTGCCATATATTTATATATATAAATATTTTAAATGTATTTATTCATTTTAAACCTGTTAAATTCAATAACTACTATTGACAATGTCAATATCAATAATGATATTGTCAATGTACAACATAAAATTGAATGCACAGCTGTAATCTTATCCACCATTCAAGGGTGTTTGTTTTGTCTGACGGTTGAGTAAAGTGGGAAACACAATTTTTGAGTTCCTATTTTATTTTGTCCACTCTTGGGGGTCTTCTTGTGGCTGTAGGGACCATAAGTTGGTTATTTTTCATTTAACCTATATTTAACCAGACAATCCCTTGAGATAGACCTGGCCAAGAGCACCTTAAAAGTGATTTCTTAATAAAGATGGCTTTAAAGGAACCTCTCTGTAATGAAGCATAACAACTGTCTACTTCAGTGCTTTTATAGTAAATATATTTTAATCATACTTCATTACCCTTGAAAGTGAGTGTGCAACTTGTTCATCATAGCCATTGTGTTTTAAATCCTTAAAATATGATTTTTAGGCTTACTTTGACACAGATAAAAGCTGGACACGCCAATTTTGAGTGTCCAGAAAAGCGCTATATAAAACCAATGCATTATTCCATCCATCCATCCATTTTCTACCCTTTAATCCATTTCTGGGTCAGGGGGGTGGCAATCATAGATCGCCCCCCAATGCATTATTATTATTATTAATTTAAAGTATTTTAAGTAAATATAATGTTTATATTTGACATGTTTTAATTCATGACAGTGATACGAGAGTCATCTCAATATTTACCGTTTACCTGAGATTTTTAAGTGTTTTTTTCTGCTTTCAGGGCTCATCGGCCGGTGGACTTCCCTGCATGGTGTGAGGTCCGGGTGGAGCCGCTCACATGCAGAGTGTCTCTGGTTCAAACAGCAGATCCACGTTTGCCCTGTGCCCCTGAAGAGCAGCAGGACCCCAGGCACGGCTCACTCCCACTGCAGCCGCTCAGAGAGTAGACCCTTCACTGTTTCAAACTCATGATCAATATAATGTTGAGCACCACATGCTAAACAGAAAGTTATTTTACACCAACAAATATTATTTCTGCATCGGTCTCAATAGCCTTTGACTTTTTATATAAACCAAATGTAAATACTATATACAAATAATTACCTTGTGAATGATGTATAATGCAACAGTGGATCTGTTTCATGCATCTCAATTCTATGAACAAATCAAATAAATGTTTTTATTCTGCTCTAATGGTTATTATTGCTCCAATAAAATATAGGTAAATGTACAGTATATATATGAAATACTTTTGACCTCTCCACCCTCACCAGGGAGAGGTCCTTCTTCAAGTGGAGGAGTTAAAGTATCTCTGACAGACGAAATGGAGCAGCGTCTGCAGTCAGAGCTGTATCGGATTGTGATACTGTTGTGGATGGTTGACGTATGCCAAATATATATTCTCAAGAATCAGAAACATGATGCTTTAACATCTACATAAATAAATAGAAACCCATTAGGTTATGATCAATTGGGAAATAAAATTGAAACATGCAACATTGACCTTACTTAACTTTGGTTGTACAGAGCGGGTTAAGTGAGAACGCCATTTATTTATCCAGAGAAACAGAACAAACTCTCAGCTAAAATAACATGATTGATAAGTTTTGTTTCCCAAAGTGGGGTCCAGGGCCCCCTGAAAGGCGAATGGAACTGCAAGGGGGCCTCCTAAGGTTATCTACACCAGTGGTTTTCAAACACTTTTTCTTTAACAGTCTGAAGTTCATCTTTTGGTTCTGTGGCTATTTGTCTGTAGGAACATATTCTTTAACATTATTTAAGTATTTCGACCAAATTATGCCTTTTAGATAAAATGCTTGGACTGAGCCATAACTGGACCTAGAATATTAGCATTCCATGGTTGCATATTGACGTGTCACTATCAATGCTTACAAGTTAATGATAATTAATAATTGCTCTTCAGCCCTGTGCGCCCGTCATACCCTCACAGACACACTGGTTCACACACAAACTTGAGTTACATGTTATAAATTATGCACATGTTTGGTTAGAATTGCATCATATAAAAGGATAACAATTGTATGTATATTGTGTTAATGTGCACAAACAATTCATCGCTCCTCATCTGTGCAGCCTGGAAATAGTCTCATAGTCTGTATAGTCTTGTGAAGTTTGACAGTTCCTGGAAAAAGTGGAAGTAGTGCCTCTTACTGGGAACTTGAAAGACGTTCACAAATAAAACAAAATAATAATAATAATAATAAAAAGGTCAGATGTTAATGCTGTTGGTCCCTGAGAACTGGGACACGTGTGACGCCAGGGCTGGGTTTGTGGGCAGAACTTTGATGGGGAGATCCCAGCTGAAAGTGTCCACATCCACACGCTCCGCACCGGACCAAACCGTGACCTCCGATTGGTTCTGTTGCACCACCGGCGCTTCCATTGGCTCCCGGGCCGTGACAAACTCAAAGTGTAGGCGCCACCTCAGGGTCACTGCAGAATAGATAAAACGTGTTCAAACTCTCAAATGTTTTAACTAACTAAGCATTATTTCATGTTGGAGTTGATTGTCTGTTTTTTTAATTTTAAAATCAGTGTCAGTCACTTTTAGCGCAGGGAAACTCCACATGAAACTAGAGCTAGTAGTAGGATACATATCAAATATTTATTGATGTAATAATGTAGTTCCGTGAGCTTGTTAACTGTAAGTTTGTGTAAGCTCTCAGTCATACAGGGATTCCTTTGCTTGTTAACTGTAGTGCACGGTAAAATAATTAGCACTACAGACAATGTTTTTAAGTCATTAACATTTTTACTGATTACTCAAGGCAATAACAGTGTAATCAAAGCCTTTTTGCAATCAAATAATTCAATATATAATTTCAACCCAACCGAAAACAAGAATTGGGTCTTAGCTTGGAGCAGGCACTTTACTGTGATGTTTATGTGCTTAAAGTCCTAAGATTACAAAATCCAATAAGATTCTCCTCATGCCGGTGGCCTGTTATTTCAGCCGTATTTATCATCATTTATGGACATTGGTTATCTGCCTCTTATGGACCAATGGCTCTATGGGTTTTTATCATTGCATTTCTTGTGTTCAACTGTTGATTCTCTGATTAGCGAATTGAACGGTCTCGTCAAGTCCTCAAAGATAGGGTTAGTGAACTATTGTTGTGATTTAAGGCTATACAAGAAAACATTGAAATTGAATATAATTACAGGTTCTGAATTCTCCATCTTGGCTTTAGATTGCTTTTACTGTTGAATTATGTAATTATTTGTCATGGGAACAGGTGTCCATATTTGATTAGGTTTACCTATATCTGTGCTAAAGCCGGGAGTGACGTTGAGAGGAATGGGCAGAGAGAAGTGGCTGGATGCGGTGTGCAGGCACGACTCCAGATGACGCCCATGTCCTGTAACGTTAGTGGGCTGTCCCGGTCGCCGCTGATACTGCTGAAGAATCTCCTCCTCGCTTTGAAGACTCACTGAATACTGGAGCACAGATTGAAACAAAAGTTAGAATAGGAAATGGAATCGGAGTGTAATAAAAAAGATCAGAATTTACCTGTAAACAAGGAATTTCACCTTCCGTAAAATTAAATGTGCCGATGATGTCTTCTCCAAGCCGATAAACAGTCTTGAAGATGCAGAACTTAGCCACCTTTCCACGCATGTTAGTGATATTAAACATGTCTAAGATAAAGTACAAATACAACTGCTTAACACGGATACATTTCACAAAGAACACACAAATGATTGACTCACGAGGACAGCGTCTGGAGGTGCTGATCATTAACAGGTCAAGTGCTCTTTCCAGCGTCTGAGCATCTCTGCGACTTACATCTTCTTCTTCTAAGAATGGGTTTGAGGGCGAAACCTCCTCATCCTGTGTAAATGGGAGCTCTGGCATGCCTTTAAATTCAACCCAAAGTGTCAATTTAATATACATTCTGCATAAAACATCTGAGAGTGTTTGTGAATTGTATTCTGGACAAAAATCCACACTCACCCTGGAGAACAAGTACTCTGAAAGGAACTCGAAGAAGTTTGATAGGAGAATTAACTCTCTGGCAACCGATTGTCAGTTTGTACACATATTTTACAGACTGACCACGGAAGCTCGGTGGGCCATCGACAGGTACAACCTCACTGTATGAATCTGAAACATAAGGTAAGATAAACCTTTATTTGTCCCATAGAGGAGAAATTTAAATGGCATAGTTGTGCACATTACAGCAGAATAGAAGGAGAAATAAGAACACACATCAAACAGGATCTATTAAGATAATAGGCAATACAATATTTACTAAAATGAAAAAAAAATGAAAAACTCCAGAGCTATAATTGCACTTGGGTCATTGTTGTACGTCAGCAGCATAGATTATAACCTTTTGATAACAATAGTAGCAGGTTAGTGAATTATCATAACAGAAGAATGGAATATGTAATAATGTATTCATAAAAGAAGGTAAGGTGACTAGTGACTGGTAAAGGGACTACTGAATTATCAGAACAGATGAATGGCAGATCCTAATAGCTCAACTAGAATCTGTATAAAAAGAAACAAAAATGCTTGAAAAAAAAAAAAAGGTCAAATACTTACAAGTTTTACTTTCTCCAGGGTCTAGTCGAAGGTCACAGAATAATATTTTTGGTGGCGTGTCCAGCACACACTGCCCTCGTTCTCCTTGAGGGAAAATGCAAAAGAGGTGTTTGAAAATAAATAAATAAAAATACACCAAACACAAATGATACTTGTGAAGATGTAACAACCTCTGCTTGGAATCAGGACGGTGTCATTCTCAGCCTGGACATCCTGTTTGTTCCCCTGCTGTGGAAGAGCCACTCTACCTTCACTTGCATGAAACTGACAGTGGATTTGAGCGCTGGCCCAGGCGAGCATCTCACTGAAAACATCACACATTTACATTATACACACATATAACAGTATAACAACAGTCAATCATTTGTACCTGGTGGCAGATGTTGAGAGGTGGGACATGGGGTTGGTGAAAGTTATGAGACACTCCATGAGTTCCCCTGCCAGAAATACTGGACCCCGAGCCGTAGTTGCCACAACCTCGATCATCTATAAACCGAAGACTCAGGTTACATGATACAATAACATAAAGAGTGATAACAAAACAAACATATACAGGAGATACAACTCATAAATGACTATCTATGTATTGTTATATTAGCCTACCTTAGCAAATAGACCCTTAGAATTATCCCGAACACCTAATATAGTCAAATAACTTCTAACAAGCTGGCTTAGAAGATAAAGTAACTCTACAGTAATTCTGCAGGTCAACTAGCATACACACATAAGCGAAACGCTCGTTCAAGGGAAAGTGATTTTGATAACATGCATTTGGCTTTTTTGTAAAACCTGTAACCATACGCTCTATATACAGTCTAAGGTCTGTCTAATATAATAGACCAATGCCAACTATATTGAATGTTTTGTTTTGATCGGCCATTATTGAATCCGTGGCAGCCGGGCACTATTGAAGAATCACTAAGGGGTGGCATGAAACACAAAGAACTGCACGATAGGCGTATAATCAAACAGAACTATTGAAATATAAACTAATATGCTATAATAAATCATGCAGAAATAATAAGAGAAGCATAAACTTGTAACAAATCAAATTAAGGTAACCGTATACTCCCCCTCTCCCACAGTTTGAGTGGTTTGCCCCATCGAGCAACTTTTTCCCCATACTTTGTCTTTCAGGTTTTAACTAGTACGTTGTATTTTACATAGTTATCCATTCAAACACAGAAGAAGACACATGCTCCATAAAAGAGGTAAAGTATTTTATCTGTATTATTTCATGACTATATTAGCAACGGAAATTTAGTTTTTTGGTAAATGCTTATAAGGTCAAAACATGGAAATAATACACCCCATGAAGGAGTAGCACAGTGAGTACAGTCTATGGTGTCGATAAATCAGTATTGTAGGCTCTGTGTAGAGAGACCTTTAGATCTTCAATGGTAAGAAAGTGACGCTACATGCCTTTTTATACGGTTGTACTTATTACACATGGCGGCCTTTGGTACGGTTTTATTGAGGTTCGATTTTGGATTAAATTAGGTCGCCATTGAAAATAAAAAGTGTGACTGAGGTAAACTTTACAATGTTGCATCTTGTTTGTTTTTGTAGGTATTCAATTCAAGCCTTCTGATCCACTGTACTTCCTCGCCACAGTCTATTCATCCAGGCTGACAACGTCAAGTCCCTCAACATTCCTTCCGGGATGTCTTGGTCTTTGGAAGGGGTCTCGTTTGTTAAGTGATTCAAAAAAACACGCTGAAGGCATTCTGACAACGATAAGGGATGCCCCTTCCTTCCCTTGGATACTATACACTTGTAAAATAGTGAAATTGAATTAAATTGAAATTAATTTACACCACACATCTGCTGCCATCTCCCAAAGATGACAGAATGGGGGGAGAAATCTACAACAGACCTTATGAGCAAGTATGTGGCCAAAGAGTCAGGCTATGGCGTACCTAAGGAGGGATGGAGAATTTGTTTGGCCCACGAGTTCAAGGAAAAGAGGACACCTTTTCAAGCAAAAGATGTATCACTTTCTCACATCTTTGAGCATGTTGGCCTTGGAATCAGGTAAACACAATATTGTTTAACCGTCCATCACTGCCTTTTTGTCAAACTAAATGGGTTTAATAAGACTACTACTACACTGCAAATAATGGGAGGAACTCAGGTACACAAGAAAATCCTTTAACCTCCTTTATTGGTTCCTGGTTTCTTTGGGAGCTGACAAGTCTCATGTGTTGACACCTGCAACCTTGCATGTCAGGTCATCGTTGTCATGTTTGAACAAAGCCATTTCCTTCTTATGTGCAACACCGCAAATCTATAAGTCAACATAAAGTGGTTTCAGTCTCGACTATGTTAGTTAGGGAATATTATTGTGATAACCGATTAATTGGCCGTTGGCGTTCAACTAATCGATAAGTTGTTTAGAGAATATTGTTTTTCATACATTTGACCAAAACTTTTAACACATTTAATTTTTGCAATATGAAATGTGTTTACAGTCATTATAGAATTATACATTAGTTGTTGACCACTGTATAATTAATTGATTTGTCGCGATTGATCGATTTGAAACCTTTTAAAACTGTATTTGTCTATACAAGTGGTTCTTTGGGGGCTACCAGCTCAGACAAAGGAATGGCTTCAAAAAGCTTTTCATTGTGTAATGTTCCTGTTGCTCCATTGTAAATGTCCTGAACCTGTCTTTCATGTGAGGTCATTGTAGTTCTGCACACTGCTGTTATAATGCTTTAAAAGACCAGTTCACTTTACAAAAATTCCAGATGATGTCGTAAAGTCCAATACTGTAAATGAACAACAATATGAGTGTTGTCATTTTTTTCAATCTTTCATTATCGTGGGGAAAGATAAGACTTATATACAGTGCAGAGGAAACATATTCATACAATTATTCATCCAATCATGTTTTGGATCGTACAAAACATTTAGACATTTTATGGGCACCTCACGTGATAGCCAATTACTTTTTGTTTTTACAAATCAGAAATGAAAAGTGTGGCTTGCAAAAGTATTCAGCCCCTTAAGTCAATACTTGCCATTACAGAAACAGGTCTTTTGAGGTATGTCTCTCAAGCCCATCAAGATCTGTCAGAGCACATGTAGGGGATTTGTGATCAGCAGTTTTTAGATATTGGCACAATTTCTGTACTGGATATAGGTGTGGACTTTAACTGGGCCTTTTGTGTTTTAAACCATTGTATGAAAAGGCTTTTATGTTTACGGAAATGGAAAGTAAACATCCACCCCACCCTCGAGTCTCTTACAGACTCTGGCAGCATTTCCTCCAAGATTGTCCTGTTCTGGCTGAACAAACCAGCCCCACAGCATGATGCTGCCACTACCAGCTTTGACTTGTGAGGTTGGTGCGGTATGAGCTGACATAAAAAGTTCACAGGGTATGAATACTTTTTAAAGGCACTATATAAATGTTGATTTTTACCATGAGCTTGAACCTAAGTACACATGCAATAAAATACTTACGTCAGCTGTGACCTCACAACTCTGCTGCTGGAAACCTAAACCTTTTAATAATTCATCCAAGTGTCTTTAACAACTGCATGTACTACACCATGTGCAAGCCTCCCTCAGTGACCCCTAAAGGACCTATGCTGGTGCTCTGGTCAGTGAACATGTGGCATATTTGATTGTTGCACTTTTCAATGTAGGTATCTGAAATGGTGGTACAAAAAGACCCAGGTGGAAAAGAAGGCTCCTTTTATCGATATGTTTGGAGCTCAGCCATTACGACAGATTTATGGTAAGTTATAGTTTTTCAAGGCTTTCTTGCCATTTTGTTATAAAAATATTCCAATTTCTCTCATTTTGTCATTATGAATCGGTTTTTTGTCCCCATCCTGATTACAGGTGTTCCACTTGGTGGTATCGGAGGGGGGACCATCACTCGGGGCTGGAAAGGGGATTTTTGCAGGTGGCAGCTCAATCCTGGCATGTACACCTACAAAACGGTTACAGTCAACCAGGTAGATAAAAAAGTGCCTTGATTTTAGGCATACAATCCATACTTTAAGATACTGTATGCGTTTTACATTTGGTAATAAATGTGGTCTGTCTCAGTTCACAGTGTGTTTGCGGCGCAATGGACAAACCCTGTACCAGCAGGTGTTGTCTGTGGAGCGGCCACCCACTTTACAAGGCTGGAACTGGGGATATTGTGGAGAGTATGCCTTCTACCACGCCCTGTATCCGCGGGCCTGGAGTGTCTACCACCTGCCAGGTCAAAACGTCACACTCACTTGCCGCCAGGTGTCCCCGGTCCTCCCACACGACTATAAGGTATGTCTTTTTGTGGTTTTAAGGCTAGCGCAAACCAGTAGATTAATATTTTGTTTAACATGTTGAATTAGCTGTGGAGGAACTTGAAATATAGTACATTGGCAGTGTTTTTCAAAGAAACAAATAAATCCATGTTAATATCCTAATATTATGACTAATATTATCCTAATATTTTTCTCTGTCACCTCATCCCTTGTTGGTCAAAACAGGACTCCAGTTTGCCAGTTGCCATATTTGTGTGGGACATTGAGAACAAGAATGATTATGATCTGGACATTTCCATAATGTTTACTGTGGCTAACGGGTCAGGCCATAAAAGCGACAAGTGTGGGGGGCACTGGAATGAGCCCTTTCACTTGGAGAAGGACGGTGAGGCGGTGTCTGGGGTTCTGCTGCATCACTGTCCCGCAGTCAACCCCTACACACTCAGTGTAGCAGCCAGAGAACAAGTGAGAATCACACCCACAACTCCTCTGCTTTAGGATTCGCTTTTACACTACGGGAACAATTATGTTTTTATTGACCCTCTCCTCTGGTTTTAGGCACATCGAGAGGTGAGCTACCAAACTGCATTCAGCCCCAAGGGGACATGTATCAGCCTGTGGACTGACCTCATCACTGATGGAAGACTCAACTCTCCCACAGGTAAAAAATATATAATAATTTTATATTTATCTAATAAGGTTTGTTGTATCACAGACAATGCTGATGTGCGTTTTGCTTAAATTACTCAGAGCAAACTTGAGTATATGTTTGCTCGCTTCTAGGTTCTAGTCCCCCCACTTCTAAAGGGGAAAAATTGGCAGCAGCACTGGCTGTGGGCTGCTCTGTGCCTGCTCAGGGACACAAGTCCCTGGAGTTCTGTTTGGCCTGGGACATGCCCAAAATCATGTTTGGCTCCAGAGAGAGGCAACACGCCAGGTATGGAATATTAAAATGGTTCTCCAGAGCAAAAAGTATCTAAAACTGTTTGTTTTAGGAGATACACTCGTTATTTTGGGATAGAAGGAGATGCATGTCCCTCACTCAGTCACTATGCGCTAACACACTACAAACAGTGGGAGAAGAGTATTGAGGAGTGGCAGAATCCTGTTCTTCAAGACTGGTACAGTACAATGAATACTAAACTTTACTACATGATACTACCTTATAACACCTCTATAACAGACGTGTTCCCTTGTCATGTGTAAATCATGTTGTTCTAAACGTGTTGCAGTTCTCTTCCCTCCTGGTACAAGTCGGCTTTATTTAACGAGTTGTACTTTGTCACGGACGGAGGGACGGTGTGGACTGAGCTCCCAGAGGACGCTGATGTCAGTGGGGGCCTCCGCTCTGAGGATGGTGGCCTTCCCGCACAACCTGATGTCATGAAGGAATACGGACGGTTTGCATATTTAGAAGGTAATGATTCAAGTTGTTTTGGTCCCAAGATGTCAAAATGTAGAGCACGAGATTAGACTGTTTAAAAACGTTTAAATTGCACCAAGAAATCTTTTGGTCGATTCATGGATCAAACATGTTGTGAATGTTGCCATTAATCTTCTTGTTAGAGAACAGTTGTTGTGCAGAAAGTCCACATTAGGTTTCTCTGTGAAGGTTGTGCATGTTTGGTTAATTGGTTTACATACACTACTTCTTTGAGTAGTGTATGTAAAGTTCTTGTTCCTACTGTATTTTCTACTAATATTTCATGTTCTTGCTCAGGTCAAGAATACCGAATGTACAACACTTACGACGTGCACTTCTATGCTTCTTTTGCACTGATCATGCTTTGGCCCAAACTCGCCATGAGTCTTCAATATGACATCGGTGAGTGTTTTTCATGTCGCCCTTTCAGTCTAGTGTTCTTGTTTATAAGATGAGATTCCTCTGTTGGCAGCCGGGAGTGTGGTGCAAGAAGATCTGACCGAGCGGCTCCACTTGATGAGTGGACGTTACTCTCTTGTCAAAGCAAAGAATGTGGTTCCTCACGACATCGGAGACCCAGGTAAAAGCCGAGAGATGTGATAGAGCCTGTATTCTGAAGGCTTACATTATACTCACAGTTTTATGCTTCTGATGCAAGATGACGAGCCATGGCAAAGGGTGAACGCCTACCTCATCCACGACACTGCGGATTGGAAAGACTTGAATCTGAAGTTTGTTCTGCAAGTTTACAGAGACTTCCACCTCACTCAGGACCGGCAATATTTACAAGACATGTGGCCCATCTGCAAAGTACAACTGATTTCTCTCATGTCATTTGTCTGTGATTCAAGAAGTCTATAAATACTATAAATTATTTGTGTTTACAAGGCGGTAATGGAATCAGAGCAGAAGTTTGACCTCGACGGAGATGGGCTGATTGAAAACTCTGGATATGCTGACCAGACGTATGACGGGTGGACGGTGACTGGACCAAGGTCAGAATCTTAATCCACTTCAAGTCGTCTGAAAATGGTCACAGTAAAGTCTTGTGTTGATTTTTAAATATACTTCCATGTTCTTTAAGTTGAGGTTAAGAGTTTGGAAATGCAGGGATTGAAAGAACTTAAGTTGTGTGTGCGTTAAAATATAAAAGATCGGGCCTCATTCACGAATATCTTCTTAAGAAATCTTCTGGACTGATGTCATTCTTGAAGAATCATTCTTGAGTAGATTTCTAAGAAGACCCTGAGTGGGATTCATCACCGCGCTCGTAAACCGCTGAATTGTTCGCAGCTGTTCTCTCAGATTGATGAATGCCAACTCCTTGTAAGTAGAGTGCGCGTGCCAGGTGATTAATTAGCATAGGTACTTAGCATAGGTAACCGCCCATTAATGCCCATAAAAGGGACTGCAGGGCCGTGTGCAGACGTCAGTGGAAACAGCAACATGCTTAAAACAAAGAGTTATACGGAGCCAAAGAGTCCTTTTGCCAGACTGAGAATAAATTCATAAAATGTTGATTTTAAAGTCGAAATATTATGAGAATAAAGTTGAACTAGCAAAATTATGAGATATGAGATTAATCTCAAAATGTTATGAGATTAATTTAAAAATATAGTAAGTATTAAGTTAAAAATGAATCTCAAAATATTATGAGGTTAATCTCAAAATATTTTGGACCCTGGGAGGAGATCCAGCGTGGACTAGCGCTGAAACCCAAGGAGAGACCATAGACTGGAGAGACCAGCGCGGTCATGTAATAGATCCATGGGAGAGACCAGCGCAGAGGGTCAGCACGGACCCCACAACCTCCTGCAGCAGCAGTATATATGCCATTGTTCTGTGGCTCACTAATACACGGCATGATTTACAATGTATTTTATTAAGCGTTGGCACATTTCATTTAAAAATGAATAAAAAAAATAGGCTAAATTACCATAAACAATGAAATAAATATATACATACATCAATATGACTGTCATATCACTGTAATTTTGTGTTTTATTGAACTTCACAAAAGACAACACCAGCGTGCGAACATGTTGGCACTGATGTGCTTAAGAGTGCTCCAGAGCACTCGTAGGATTTGTACTTACCCAAGAGAAATTCTGGATACGAGAAATTTTCATGAATGCCACAATCTTCGTAAAATCTTCGTAAGTAGGATTTACGCACAAATTTGTTCCTAAGAACGGTTCGTGAATGAGGCCCATTGTTTATTTTTGGTTATGGATTTGTTTCATAATATTTGAATTGTCCATCTTGTTTTGCAGTGCATATTGTGGGGGCCTCTGGCTGGCGTCATTGTGTGTTATGTGCAAGATGGCAACACTTTTGGACAACGACGAATCGTATAAATACTTCAAAGACCTGCTGGACAGGGGAAGCGCTGCTTATGAAAAACGCCTGTGGAATGGTGAGTGTGACTGTTGACAAAAACAAAAACTACTAATTTAAGAGATTATGCCTAAAATGTTAACAGGCAAGTACTACAACTATGACGGCAGTGGGCGGAGCCATTCCAACAGTGTCATGTCAGACCAATGTGCAGGACAATGGTTCCTGAGGGCATCTGGATTAGGAGAGGGAGAATTTAAGGCAAGTGCATCTGTGCATTACATATTCACCACTTATCACCAAAGAACAGTGCATTTGGTGCAATTTACTATTCTATAACAATTTACCAGTTTTAGTTTTTATGCTTCAGGATCACTGGCCTGTACATGTTTTATCATACAGCTGGAAAAACAAAATGCTTACGTTACACTTTTTGATCTTTCTGTCTGATTAAAGGCATTTCCTGTTGACAAGATACGCAGCGCACTAAAGGCTGTGTATGACTTGAATGTGATGAGTTTTGCGGACGGTCAGATGGGAGCCGTCAATGGCATGCGTCCAGAGGGAGTCCCTGACCGCTCCAGTGTCCAGTCCGATGAAGTCTGGATTGGAGTGGTCTACGGCCTGGCAGCTACAATGATCCATGAGGTACGGGAGGGTGGTCCAATCAGTGACTCACTAGGCTCATTCATAGAAGTATGCAAATGATGTTTTCTAATAAGACAGAGACGGCATGTTGTGGTGTGAATTTTTCTCCTAATTTGACTTTTTGACCACACTATCTGTTTGTACAAAAGATAGTTAGGTACTACTCCAGCTGTATGACCAATCAGTTCATATTTGAGCTCCGAGCAATACTACATACAGTTGATACAACAAAAAGACAATACAGATTATAAAAGTGCTATATAGAGCTCAAAAGGAGTAGGCAGAAGTAAAAATAACGCCGCCTTCCCCTTCGTTGCATAATTAACCTACATTTCAGAGTAATATATGTATACGTACATTTCAGAAGTACGGCAATCAGAGAAGTTCATAAATACATTTGAGAATTACCTAAGTCAAGAGTAATGCAGAAATACACATGCGTGTGGTTCACCGACTGGAGCTCTCGGGTCTTGTGTCCAGGGAATGCGGAGTGAAGGCCTGCGCACAGCGGAGGGGTGCTACCGGACCGCGTGGGAGCGTCTGGGCATGGCCTTCCAGACTCCTGAGGCCTACTGTGAGAAGGGCATCTACCGCTCCCTGGCCTACATGAGGCCGCTCAGCATCTGGGCCATGCAACTAGCACTCAGCTCGGCCCACGACAGTCCGACCGCCGCCGCTGCCGGAGATGTCTGTGTGCAAGGACGCTTTTAATTTAGACCCGGGACATTCAAGCACTTCACTGGAGTTTTACTATATATAAGCTTTCAAGGAATCTCTGTGAATCATGGGTACAGAACGTGTACAGATACTGAGGTAGTTTATTTGAAATTAGTTAGAATTATGAGTCAAAAGTTTACTGTAATTTCTTCCCTTGCACTACAACGTTCTAGATTTCACAATGTTTAGATCATTTTATACTTTGCAGCTACTGTGTTCTAAATATCATTTTTAATTACATCTATAATCTTTACTAATATGGGAATAATTGTAGAGAAATTATGTATTCTTTTTGAAAGCATGTGCCTTTTACTGTAAGCATGTCTGGTGACTGTAACTAGCTCATCATTAACCCTCTGACGTTTTATAACTACAGTACCCATGGCAATCATAATCAATAAATGATTTAAAAAGACTGTTTGCAGATTGGTAATTATTTGAAAAAGGTTCAAGTTCGCAGCATGGCAATTATAGGCGTATTGATGGTTTGATTTACTAGAATTTGATACTATTATGATTTTGCTTGCCAAAATTCGTTCCTCGCCCACTAGAGGGCGTGGGAATCACACTGGGAAAAGCAAGTGCACGATGGCTGAGACTTAAAGGCCGTGACTTAAAGGGTAACTACCATAAACCGTCTGGGCAATAAAGTGGCTGATTTCAGGAAGGTCACGGGTGGAGCTTGCAGTAGAGCCTCTGTGCAAATTAATTTAAAGGCGCCAGTTTGCATGGAATTCATGTTGAGAATAGCCTGCTCCCAGCCCAGATTACGTGGGGAAAAAAGACTGGATGGATAAAGGGCATTTGATATCTGAAGATATAACTATGGCAAGTAATCTTTCACAGACAGGATCACAAAGCACTTTGTTGTTGTCCTCTCCACACAGTGATGAAGCAGGGTCGCCATACAGGAGGCGCAGGCTGGACTTATCGTGCATGTTTGTAATGGTTGGGGAAACTGGAGTACAAGGAGGTAACCTAGACAGACATGGGGAGAACATGCAAACTCCACACAGACAGACCTGGCGATGAACTTGAATTCAGGTCCTTGCTGTGAAGCGCCTTGAAGAAACATCAAAGTTATGATTAAAAGACTTTATTGAGGATTTTAAGTACAGGAGGAAACAGAAGCTTCATGAAGGACGTTTTATAAAGTCTCCAGATCAATTCAGCTTATGCCAAAGCTGATAAAAGTTTATAGCAGTGAGCGGTAAATCAAACTATGATGGCACCTTGGTATTTATTATGATTCCTATTTCTCTCCAGCAAGATAAGATAAGATATTTACAAGAGACTACTCCTCTTGGGCCTATGGAATTCATTTGGATTTAGCCTATTATGTCTATTGAAAAGGGAAATGAATTGTTTATATGGTATAAAAGACTGAAGGTAGGGCATTGGTATCCATCCTGTCACCCAGAGGCTCCTTTGTCTGGCAGGGGCTGACAGGAGATCACTGGGAGGTCAGAAAAACTGTCAGGGAGACGGTCACTAAACAATGGGGGAGAAAACATGAACATACAACAAATATCAAGTAGGGAAGGCCAAGCATCGTTGTCCTTTATTTATTTTATCAAAAAGACCACTCAGACTAGATGGAGAAGTGGAAGCCAGAAGATTATATTACATTTAACAATATGTATGCAGAAAAAACAAAATCCATTGGCACCGTAAGGTCTTTTTAGAGAGGTTTTAGTTTAAAAAGTAGACTAAGTTTTGCATTGAATTGGGTCGCTCTTTTATAAACCAAAATCATTCAAAACAAATCTGTACCCTCATGGAGAAAAGAGGAAGTACAGAGAGCGTGGCAGAATGCAGGTGGAGGAAAAATAAAACGACAATTATGAATTTTACAACAAAACTAAACATCCAAAACCAAATACAGTCCTCTTATCAACATTGAGCTCATTTTAAACCCTTTTTTTGCAGTCCACTTCATGGGGAAAATAAATCAGATATTGTTTTATCCAAACGCACTGTTGTCCTGGTTAATGCTGAAATGCTTGATAAAGTTTTCTATACAATGAGGCCCTGCTCCACATGTCCCCACCCCATTTTTAAGACATTTTTTTAATCTTTTAAAGAGGAGCTTTTAAACTTCTTTAAAACCTCTTTAGAAGAAGAGCAACGATTTTAACAACTACGACCAACTCACCATCTTTAAGCAACATTTTAGAAAAACGTTTTTATTTAGCTTTTTTAGATGTACAGCAGAGATTTCAATCTGGTTTTAGGGTGAACCACAGTACAGAGACTGCTCTCTTAAAGATTTTAAATGATTTTAGATTAAATTCCAAAGGGTGACAGTGTTGGTTCTACTGGATCTAAGTGCTGCTTTTGATACAGTAGACCACACTATTCTTTAATCTTGTCTTAAACACCAGGGCCTCTCTGGTGCTTTCGAAAAAAAGGTTCACTTTGTATTTATCAAACAGAAATCTCAAGATAAGTTTGGATACTTGCTCCTCTCAGGTCCATGAAATCACATGTGGTGTGCCCCAGGGTTCCATTTTAGGCTCAGTCCTTTTTAACCTGTACATGTTCTCTCTTGGCGGTGTCATCAGGAGACATGGAATAAACTTCCACAGTTATGCAGATGATACACAGCTGTACATCTCCATGTCTCCTGATGACATGATACAGTAGATCAGTCAAGAGGGGTAGTGTTAGTATTAGATAGCAATATGGCCTACGTGCAGAACTGTACAAGGACTCTGATTATTTTGACTATGATGTGACTGTCTCTGTGTGACACGTATGTCTTTCGATGTGTGACGTGACAATGACTATATAAACTGTGTACTGACTTTATTCTGTCTGGGAGAAAGAGACAAAGGAAACCACTGGAACTTGAGAGAAACTTAAATAAACTTCCAGAGTTTGGCGCACCACGATCCGTCTCTGTCTGCTTCGTCCCTGACAGTAGGAATCAATACAATTTAACCTTCCTCCTACTCCTTTTGAGCATCAGGTTCTGAACGTCCTCTTTGTCAATATTTACGTATATATGTTTTTTTTTTTTTTTTACTAAAATTTTATTGGCGATAGGGTTGATGGGGCCTCCCTATCCCCACAACCTCTCCAGCATAAAGAACTCTTCAGGTTCCATGTCATTTGTTGTTTGGGGGTTATAAAAAACCGTATCAAGTTTTTCCAACTAAATTCGCGCCAGTCGGCAGAGCTGGTGGTCGACAAGGCTGTCTCACATACATTATCCCATTGCTCATTTGTAATGTCCAAACCAATTTCCTTTTCCCATCTCTTCTTGATATAGATTGTTGATTCTCCCCTGCTAGTTGCTAATCCCTGATATAGTTTAGAAATAATAGATGTACATTTTTCTGTATATGATTGTGAAATCAGCTTAATTAATTGATTTGAGCCCAGTTCTGGTTTTGATAGTTTTGTTGATAAATATTGTCTTACTTGTAGGTATCTAAAAAAAATCATTTTTCTCTAATTTATACTTTCTTTTGTTTTCTGAGCTTGTTGGCAACAAGTTCTTATCAAGTATGTTACAATAGGAAGTTAATCTAGAGTCCAATTGATCAGGTGTGAAGTCTGTGTCGTAAGCGACCCATCGAAGTGTTCGTGCAAGATCTGATAACATAAGTTCTTTTAAAGTTTGAAACCATGTAGTCAGTGTAAAAATTGCCAGTGGGGACAGAATGTCTTGGTGAGTTGTCATTAATTTTGAGTCACCAATAAACGCCTCTATAGGAATATTTCCACATATTTTCACCATCACACCATAATACCAACGGCCTGAGTTGAGATGCTATATAGTAATCTTTCAGATTTGGTAATGATAAACCCCCTTTTCTTTGTGGAGCATCAATGTACTAAATTTGACACGGGGTTTCTTTCCTCTCCAAATAAATCGGGATATTTGTTTTTCCCATTCACGAAATTGAGAAGTTGGAATTTTAACTGGTAGTGACATAAATAAGTATAGTAATCTAGGCAAGACCGACATTTTAATTACTTCAATTCTTGAGTGGAAATTAAGTATGTTTGTTGTCCAGTGCGTGAGATCCTCTTTAATTTTTTTGTTCACATCGTCAAAGTTTTTCTTGAAAAGATCATCAGGGGAATGTGTCAGCCACACACCCAAATACCGAATCGCCTTCCTGGACCAATCAGTTTTGATTTTTTCTTTTAAAACTTCAGCTGGTTTATAGTTAAAAGACATAATCTGTGTCTTGCTTATGTTTAGTCTATATATCCAGAATAAGCTCCAAATGTGTGAAGTGTTTGTAGGAGTGCCTGAATGGATTGGTTTGGGCTAGATAGATACAGCAGGACGTCATCCGCATATGGGCCACTTTATGCTCTCTGGAATTCACTGTTATGCCGTTAATATTTGGGTTTTCTCTAATTGCCTGTGCTAATGGTTCGATATAGAGTACAAATAGGGTTGGCGATAAGGGACAGCCTTGACGTGTTGATCTTTCTAATTCTATCCGATCTGTTAAACGGCCATTCACTTTAATTCTTGCAGTGGGGGCCAAATACAATGTCTTTATGCTGTTAATCGAGGTGTCAATAAAGCCAAATCTTTCTAAAACTAGGAATAAGTATTGCCAATCTACGCAATCAAAAGCCTTTTCTGCGTCCAAACTTACAAGGTCAAGGTCAAGTTTATTTATAAAGCACATTTAAAACAACAATGCTGCCCAAAGTGCTGTACACAAAAATACATGTATATAAAATACACAATTTGAATATAATAAAATTAAAATACAGATGCGGAAAAACAAAATTCAACACCAGCAAAAAAAAAAAAAAGTCCTGCTCAGTTTTAATAAAAGGACTTCGCAAACAAATGGGTCTTCAACATAGACTTAAAAATGCCTAAAGACTGGGCTGCCCTAATATTTAAGGGGAGACCATTCCAAAGCGTCGGAGCCGCGACAGCAAAAGCCCGGTCTCCTCTGGTCGACATTCGTGACCTCGGTACGTCTAACAGAAACTCGTTAGCTGACCTCAATGTT